GAAACAGACAATTTTATTTCTGTGAACGAATCTTTAAACTTTGATATAATGTAATTTGCTATAATATAGTTTGATGTAATAATATATAATTTCATTATATTTTAATTTATTAATTCTTATGCTGTTCTTTTTTTTTTTTAAGATTAATAAATAAGAATATTTTGTTTTAAATTAAATCATAGTGAGGGTGTAGCGAGTTCTCATAAATGAGAAATTGAACGTCTGGTTAAGAGAATATGGTCGAAAGGAAGTTGGAAGAGAATTTAGATAAAGGATGATCGAAAGGTCTTGCACCTGTTACCATTTTAATTAAGACATTTAAACAGTCGGGCTATAATTTATGATAATAATCTCGTGGTAAGTTCATAGCTGTTCTTCCTCAATGCATTAATGTAATGCAAGCATTAAATATTTATTTGTTCCTATTTTTAATTACAAATTTTAATACGTATAATTTTACGTTGACGTAAATATTTTCTCTTGTTTTCTATAAATAAGAAAACAAAGTAAGAAAATAATTATAAAAAGTCCTTTGAGAACTGTATTCGAATTTAATAACTTAAGATATTGTTCTTCCTGTAGGAGTTAAAAATAAACAAATTTTTATTTTACCACGGAACCAACCAACAATTGTTTCTCAATTGTATTACGAATACACACACAGGATTTGATATTTTCCCTCTCTTTGTCTCTCAATTCTGGTTTTTTGAAAATTTCTATTTCACAGAATTCACAGAATGCATCGATAAATCGCATTTTTAAAAAAAGATTTCAACCTATTAAAAGAATTTTGCGTTTAATCTATTATACGAAATCTATAGTGTTGAACTGAAATTCGATTTAATCGAAAACAATTTATAAATAGAATTTTTTTATAGCTATTCTATATTCTTTCATAAAATTTCAAATGATTTTAAATAAAAACATTATTACTATTCATTTATTTTCAAATAATTTCAATATTTCGATACTACAATATATTAACAACGAATATGCAAAATTTATTACATATTACAATATATAGAATAATACATTAGAATAATACATTAATTAAAGAAATTGAAAATTCGAATCAAAGATAAATCGTATCTTACCTTTAATAGGTTTAAAAATTATTATTAATGTACTATTAATGTAATGTAATATGTAATAATATTGAGAATTATAACAATCCATCCATTATTTTATTAATTTTGAAAGAATCAAAGCAATGAACAATTAACATGGTCCCAAACATAACATATATTATAACATAACAGACAAATATTATATCTAATTGTTAATATAATAAAAATAAGAATTGAATTAAAAAATATTGTTTCAAAAAACTTTTAAAATCCTTGCAATTCCAGAAAAAATTAATTTTACAGAAACTATAAATATATACTAACTTAATCTGAAAGATTGGGAACAAAATGACAAAAAATTCTAATTTAAAGTACTTCTGCTTGAATTTCATTCCTCGTCGTTAAATCTACGAGATTCGTTAAACGAGTCCAAGTATTCTTTTAGTGATTTATGCATTTCGTGTTGTCACCGTCAACTCGATGTGCCTGCTATTAATGCATAATAAGAAAAGAGAACGTCACTGATGACGAGACGTGAACTATCCACGAGACACATATACACACGAGCCAATTTTCCACTATGACACTAACTTGCGACCAATCTTTGTATCGTGATACTCTGCAATCTCGTTTAAGTTTTACGACACGGCACTTAACCGTTCAGGCTGACCCTGTGATTTTCTTTTAGCAATTCCCAGAAGTTTTGAGACCGGAAACGAGTCTCCTTGCTAAATGAGATATTCGAGATTTTGTTATAAACTAGGAAAAGTGAAGTGGAATTAAGATTTTACCTTCACGAAACTGTTTAAAATTTTTTTAGAGATTAGTTGGAAACTTATAATTGTTCCATTATTTATTAAGTTGTTGCAATTAAATAAGAACATTGAAACATTGTTCATACTTCATTAGAAGCATTTACAAACATTACAGGAAATTGTAATACTTCTGTGACTATAATTTTAACATTTAATCAAAAGTTAAGAAAAAAATAATTTACTACATACTACTATTAAATAAAAATGAATGATCTTACTATAAATAAACTATAAATAACTATAAATAACTATAAACTATAAACTATAAATAAACATAATAAATTATTACCAATTTTCCAACGTACGATATAAATCACGAGAAAAAAGATTATTGTAACAAATAGTAAATTCCTCGTTTTAAAAAATTTTTCAAATGACAATATTCAAAATGGGTTCACGTGAAACAATTTAGATACGTAACTGGTGCAAGCGGGCCGATTAAGAAAATGTGCCTCGAGATTCGAGTGACATTGATTAATATTCTCGCGCGCGGGCGCATTTACGGAAGTCGTGGAACAGCTGATTTATATTCCCATGTCCGGATGCAGTACGCAATTTCGCTTCAGAAGGGTTTACCACGGTGCTATTAACGATATTCGGGTCACGCGACTTCTTGCTGTCGGCATCGTCATCACAGTCGTCTCACGCCGACACTAGCGGTCTCTAGCGACATTGCAATTTCATCTTCTAGACCGGAAACTGCACGTTTTTCATCGATTACAAATAAAGGATAAGAGAACGGAGAACGGAGTTTATTCTTAGTGATTTTATGGTATAATATTTGATTGATGAAGAATAAAGTGAACTGAATTATAAGAAAATATAAAATAGAAAAATCATGAAGATTAAGTTTGGATTAAAGAGTGGATTTCATAGGAATTAACTTTAATTAATAAATTAATATATATATACATAGGAAATATATCCTAGTAAAATATTATATATGCTAAATCATGATATAATAATACATATATATTAATATATATGTATTAATATATATGTATTGGATAAAATATAGAAAATTTTATTTGTTTTAATTGAATAAAATATAGTTTATCGATAAAATAGATATATCTAAATTTATGAACAAATGATATATAATTTAACGTAATATTTTTATATAAAAATACAAAAAAGAAAAACTAAAAAATAAAAGTAAGAAATATTTATCGAAAAAGTAAAAAGAATAAGTATTTTTTTCCTTTTTCTTCCTATAAATTCCACTCTGAACAAACTAATTTATGATATCGATACATTTCTCTAAGTGCTATTACAGTAGCAAGAAGTTAATATCCTACACGTTCATATAAGCTGGTTTCGATCTTTCCCTTGATAACAAACTGGTGTCCAATTTTGTCTGATTTTATAATGGGAAAATATAATGTGAAAGAAGATTGCATATAAAACTTTTTTTGAATTTAATTCACTTATCTATTTTCATATTTATTTCTTTATGCTGTTACATCTGTATGCTTTTTTTTCCTATTACTTTTTAATAATTTTTTAATAATCTAAAAAATTCTTTACGAATGAAATAAATTAATTTTAATTTCTTTAAGGCAATTAGATAAATAAAATACTTCAAAATAACCATCAATTTATTTGAGATAATATTAATTTCCTTAAAACTTTCTTCATTTATATTTCTTAATTTACTCAAAACGATCTCCTAAAATAATTATTTATTTTGATATTATAAAGTTAATCTATATAAACTACAAAATTAATAAAACTCTTAATATTCATATATATTAAAAATATATATTTATCATTTTAAATAAATTATCATTTCTCTTTATTTAATAAATAGAGCGATAACAAAAAGTTTAAATTAGAATAGTCTTTTTAACAATAACTTAAAAAATTAGATATACTTAAATATACCTTTTTATTTCTTCTTATTTCCCTTCGTCTTATAATTTTTATTAGAAAATTCTTAATTTAATTTTTTATCCTTTTCTTATTTTACATTTTTATTATTACTATAAAATTCCTAGAATTTCAAAACTCGGTCATATTTCAAAATTGATGTAATCGCATCACAAAGCCAATTGTGACATAGGAATTCAGTATACCTTATGCATTAGATCATCTGGAAAAGTATTCTAATAGTTTGAACGGCGACGATAGACACGATATTCTGTTCCACATCACGACATTTGTAACGCTATACACGAACTTACAATAGATTGCTTGAGTTAAACTAACACTAGAAACTATCGATAAAGCTTGACAAGGCAATATCCATTTCCTAGTGTACCAATTGACTGTTAAGATCGCTTTTTGTCACAACTATCAATGAGTTGTTTATCACGTCGCTCGTTTGTCGATCAATAGATTTGCTCAAGATATAAGATAGAGTTGATATTTTATTTCTATACTTTGAAATATCGACCTCGAAAAGAAACAGGGTGTTTCTTACTTCATTCTATGTGTATTAATATATTAAAAAGCACATTTAATATTTATTTTAGAAAGAGGGAAAAAATTTTCTTTAAAAATATTGTATTTATACCTTCTTTATATTTATGACGTTAACACATTTATAAAACACTTCTGTGTAAAAGTTGATATACAAAAATGTTGGTTAAGGCTTATTTATTATACAATTTAAATTTACGTTAGATGAAGATGGAAGTAAATTGAAACAATCTAGTTACATTAACTCCATCTCTCTTCATCTAACGCAAACTTAAATTGCTTATAACCCAATATACATAATAATAATTGCTTTATTAATCCCTTTACATAATAAACTATAAATTAAACAATAAATTAAACTCGAAAATAGAAACATCTTATTAATGTAATTTAAATTGATCTCTAACTTCAGAAAGGAATAAAATATTCCTCTTTCCTGAAATATCATCCATCATAAAATTTATCATAAAAATATTCAACTCATTTGAAATTGTTGTTTACCTTACCAGAATCAATAATCGACGCAACTTTTCAATCTAACAAGTCAAAAATCTAACAAATAATTATATCTTCCTTACCAACCATCCCATTGCTGATGGAATGGGGGAAACTTGGTGAGCCACGACCTTGACTTAACCAACGTCTAGCTCGGACTATAGTCAGAATATCCAGCTTACCCAAATGATTCTGTTCACAGATCAGCACTCGAGACAGTATCAGCTTCAACAATTGCGCGAGCAACAGCAGCGACGTTCCTCGAGGACTGAGCAATCTTCACCAATGGCTCATTACGGTAGAGGCCGTGTCGAGACGAGAATATTGCCGCGGCGTAAATGCTGCGTGTAAAAGAATCGGCCACCGATTGTTCTTCCACCCAACGAGGGCCGCAATAAAGCCGAAAGTAACTTAGCTATTGAAGAGAGAGAGCGGTCTGCGGCTCGCGCATAAATTATGTCAAGAGTTCCTCTCGTCGAAAGAAGTGGGGGATAAGGAGGAAATGAGAAGGTAGAAGAGAGGAGGCGTTACAAAGTTCGTTTCTCGCTTTTAATTAAGTCTAATTAAAATCGGATCGATTTCGATACGATCTGTACCATCATTTCCTTCTTTCGCCTCGAGACGATCGAGTGATCGATGATCTTTGATTCGATGATTTTTTTTAACCCTTTGCGCAAGTTCAACCAGTTGCGCGAATTTCAAACGAAGATTTGAAACGATTCGAATTTAAGGGGATCGAATTGATTGGTGATAGAAGATGGTCTATGTTTTTTTTGTTTTTTTTCTATTAGTAATTGGATTACTTAAAAAATGGAATCCAAAAAAGTTAGCTTATTTTCCATTCCAATTTTATAGAACAGATATTTACTATACAAGCTACTTGTAATTAACTTTGTACGGACTAATGCTCTTAACCTACTTTTCTGACAATCGTGAACTCGAAAGTTAATTAACTTTATATTATTTTTTTATTCTTGTGTTTTAACTTTGAAACGATTAAAATCAATTATACTTCTCCAAGTGCTTTTAAGCAAAATTTCTATTTTGTTTTTAATCGTGATTTCATTCTGTTGTAATAGTCTTAAATTGTACACAATTTCCAATTTAATTCTCTGATATTTAATTTTATTAAATAACGAATATTTGTATCATCTTTCATCGCCAATAAATTATAAACTTTTTTTTTTAATTCTTTTTTACGAATTCTTGATAATATAATAATTATTGACATCACAAATTCAAAGATTCATCTACAAAGATTACGAATTTCAAAATACCATATGAAAAATATATTTGTACATTCGTTTTACTTTTTATAACTATACTTATTACTATACTTACTACAACTTGACCAAGCAAAGTGAAAATTTTTTGAAAAAAGTAAGATCAAAGAATGAAAGAAAAAAGATCAGATTTGAGAAATATCCTAATTTGTAATGTTTATGGTCTCTATCATAGCCAATTAAATCAACGAAGAGAAGCTAAGTGCCTTAAATTGAAACTATTTACGTGCCTTAATCAAAATTCTTCCAAGATCCTATTATACGAGTTCATGAAATAATGAAGATTAGTCGTAAAATAATTTCGAAAAGTTCATTAAAAATTTAATTTTAATTAAATAATTCTCATAACTAAATGCTTTAATATTTCAAGAAATCAGGGGAAAAATCTTGAATCATTTTCTTTTCTTTTGATTTGTTGTTCTTTATTATTTTTCTTCATTAAATATTGAAAATTATGTCTATACCCTTTTTTGAAATCAATATGTATTACTTACATAATAATTAATTAAATACTTCAGATAGAATACTATTAGAATACTATTAAATTACTATAATCTCCATTAAAATATAAAATTTTTCAAAATGAATATTCTTTGTATATTTTATCACCTATATGCTTGGCCATATTCATTAAAAATTTCAGTTTTGCTGGGTCAAGCTTAATTACCTTAAAAGAAACATCGCCATCCAGCACTGCCTTTTTCATAGTATAATTAATGATAAGTTTTTAAGAAATTAGAAGAAAAAGAGAGAGAGAGAAAAAAAGAGAGCTAGAAGAGGAATTCGGGTATTTCTTTTTACTAAGTATTTTTTTTTTTTTAATCTTATTCTTTGTAATATACATATTATATACATACATGTATTCGATACATAAATTTTATACATTTATTTTATTGTAATGTTACGATGGTAATCAATCGTTATTCCTTAACAATGATATGCGAGTGGCGTGGAGGGGTATTAATAAATAATAAACGAATGTTCGCTTACATTCAATCGTTCTTCTATTTTTCCATTTTTTTTTCTCAATTATAATCCTTAAACTCTAACAGTTTATTTATTTTTTTTATTGGTAACTTCCATTCCATCGACGTCGTCGATCACGGAGCGTACTCTCGTTTAAAAAGTGAAACAAAGAACACACACATCGAGCACGAACTGCAACTTCGATTGCTATGAAGAGGAACATTTGGTACAGTGTTACTCGATTTATTGATTTTGTTGAGGAGAGATAATATAGATTTTTTCTTCTCTTTTTCTTGTTTTTTTTTTCTTTTTAAGAACGTTCTTTATATTTTACAACTTTAAAAATTTTTTGATCGATTAATGCTTTGTAAATTTTATTATTAGTAATAAAATATTGAAATCTGTTTCTTCGTCATTTTTTTTTGATCGTATAACATTTTATTATTACTTTATCAATTTTCGATTGAAGAGAGTTCTAGAAGCATCCCTCCCTCCCCCCAATCAACATTCTCAAAGGAACGTTTTCAATTCAAAGTTTAATCGTTTATCTAATTTTCCAAGCGAAATTGCAAGAATACAAACTCGTGTTGAACATCAACAACACGATATTCCATTCTAATCAATTAACGCTCGAATACAACCTTTTTATCAAGAGCTTTTTTTGGTTATATCATGCAACACGTTGAAAGAAATTACACACGTTGCCTCGGTATCCTTATATCCAACAAATTTATCGAGCAATTCGTTTAATAACCGTGTATGGGTCGACAATAGACGAGGTCTAATGCAGTCAATATCCCTGGACTAATGTTGGCCAATTATTCCATTAGCTATACACGATGGTACAGCACCTCCTATGGAAAGTAGAAAGAGATTGCGTAACAGGAATAGCGTAATATCTAGGAACACCGTGATGACGTCATTAATGAAGCAATGCGATATTTATGCGAGGTGTGAAATGCAAATGAAATATTTATTGTAGAATGATAGATGGAGATTTTTATGTATATTACTAAGAGAGAAACGTGCGATTTGAATTGTTACGTGCATTAAAATCTTATCGTATTTCGGTTTGCATTACTTTTTCTCTTGGAAGAGATTGTCTCTTTTATCGTTCTGGTTTAAACATTTATAATTCGTGAACGATAATAATTTAAAAAAAAAAATAATTTAAATAAAAGTTATATTGTTCTTTTAGAGAACAAGCCGTTTTATGTACATACAAATTATTGAACTATTGTTAATAAGAGATATGTTAAGATTATATTATAAATGAATTTTTATTATGGATTATATATTTCAAGAATAAAATTGTCGATTACTTAAAATATATTTATTTTCAAAATAAAATATTATTAGATAGAAGAAAAATAAAATCTGTTAACGTTTTCTTATAAAAATCTCCACGTGTATTCTTACCTCATATTCATTCCTCACCATTAATAATTAAATATAAGAAAAGAATACTTCAGAACAACTTCCTACATAATATAATCATCGTTCTATAAAAATTATTCTTAACGATTCTATGACAAACAATAAGTCACTTCATCGTCTAACGACAATTTTACCTTGTCTAATCGATTTCTTCCAACAAATTATACTTCGACTATAAAAGTAAACGTCGAATAAAACAAAAACGAAGGAAAAAAACAAGAAGTGCAAAATCGTTATGGCGAACACTAAGCAAAACCATCCGTGTATTAATTCTTGCCCGAGTATACATGTATACATTCTTGCCACTTACCGTCCAGATTCTTAATAGCCTATTGTCTAACAGCGTGCTTGTTAAGTATTTACTACCTTCGCGACAATGTTATTCAGGGAAGCAGAAATCTGGCGATGACAGAAGCATCGTCTGGGACTACACGTTAACCACGTACCCTGATTGTACATTAATGTATGTGAATTTGGTCCATGTGAACATAGAAGCATAACCTGCGCCAAGAATTTGCTTTTGACAGATGGATAAAATATTTAGGTTGTTCCCCGAAAGATATTCTTGCAACTTTGTTATTTCTAATTAATTTTAGCTAGCTTGTTGAAGTAAAAGATACTCGAGATACTCTTTGCAACTCGAGTAGAAGGTAAGAGATGCAACTATGAGATAGTCGAAGATGGGTCGAAATTTTATTAACAGAATTAAATGATTTTGAACGATACATATGATGAATATGTTAGGTGGTAAAAATTTTGGCAAAGTGTGTAATTTGTTGTAAATAGAACTGCTTAAAAACAAAAATGCACAAAACAATATTTGTTTTACAATATCTTACTTTTATCTTACTTTTATCTTACATTAAGTTAAGTAACTATACTACACTACTACACAATTAGAATATTGTAAAAAACTTATCATTTTCAGATATATTTATATCAATTTTTTTATTTTTCAATTTATAATTCCCATACATTGTTAATAAATATAAATAAAGATTTTTAAAAAAATCTCTACCTAAAAAAAATTAAGTAAAATATGAAAAAAAATTCTCAATGATCTCCTTAGAGATTTATTAATTTCAACAAAACTTATTTCTTATAAAAAATTCTATTGATACATTATATTCAAACCTTTTTTTATATAAATCACAAAGATACATATTTAATTTCTGTTTCTATTGATCGTTTTATTCTAATAAAGAAAAATTTTGAAAGTATTATTTGTTACAATGAAATTTGATTATTCGAAGGTACTTGATTATAAATATTTTTTTTTTTTTTAGGCTCCGTGATCATCGACGATTGTTTATGATGGAAATAAAGGAAAAAGATATTTTCTCTTGACTCGTTTTCTTTATTTCTAAAAATTACGATTTCAAACGCAGACAACGCTTATCGATATAATTGAAGGTATCACAAACTTTTGGTGACCTCTAATTACATTTATCATATATTGTCCCTATGCTTATTAATTAATCAAAGTGATTTAATCGGTAATCTCGATTAATAATTCTCGTACCATGCTTTAATTCAGGTTTAACAGAATGACTTAAGTCTTAAAATGGAATATCATTAATAATCAAATTCATTATTTGATAATTTACAAAAAGATATAAATTCTAAAATTTAGTGATTTGTTAATAATTTAAAATAATCGAATTTTTAAGTTAGAAGAATGTAGATTCATTTATATTTTATTTTTTAATTCTTTGATATTTTAACTTTTTCTTAATCCATTTGAATTTATTAAACTATTATTTTAGTTATATCGTGAAGATTATTAATATCAAATTGTTTTCTTTGAAATAATTAAAAATTAATTTATACCTAGTTTTTGTAATAATTCATTACCCTATAATTTTAGAGACCAAATAAAATCAATTGAAACTATTTCCCTCTTTTTAATAATTATATATAATTTCTATATACAAAAATAAATATAATCTACTTTGAGAAATCAATTTTCTACTAATTAAACTATTCATGCTTTTCTTAAAATAAATATTTCACGATATTCCAATTTAAGAATTAATCATCTTCCTCTAAAACTGTCCTTCCATTCTCACGAAAATTATTTATTTATATGTTCTCTATAGTAAATCTGAAGTTTCTCTATATTTATGGCCTTAAACATCGACGTTATTTCGGTCGATCGAAATCCTCTCACGTCCTGAACATCATCTATTATGCTAATTTCGCTCTAAAACGAAGACACTGTTCGTGAAATAAAAATTATATGATGCACAAAAGAAAAACCTAATCTTTTTTTTCGCGTTTTTATCATCGTCGATAGTTTAATCTTTCATTTGCAACGAGATGATACAAAAGTGTGGAGAATTAATACCACGTCGATTTTCAATAAAAATTTCGCAATACGTTTCGTGGAAGCTAAGAAATCGTTTTAATGAACGGATCTTGAGGGATGAAACATTTTAAAGAAGTATTTTAATCTAGATATTTATCTTCAAGTGAATTTTGATAAATAAGAAAAATAAAAATTGAACGCTGATTGAATTCATTTATTTAAATGTCAAAAAGAAAATATTAGAAATATTTTGATTAAGAAATATTTAAAGGATTTCATTTATCTTTAGTAATAATTTAAAAAGACGAATTTTATGAATTTTAAACATTAACAAATTTATCATTCATTTCGGAGAAAAGTTAAAACTTTCAAAGTTTTTAGATCTCAATTGTTTAAAATTTTTTTATACAACTGTAATATCATTTTCATCAATTCATTTTAATATTTTAAAAATATTTAAAAAATATTTTAAATATTTTTACACTTTCAAAATATATATGAAATAAATATATATTTTTTCATATATATATATATGAAAAAATTGTGATCAAATTTTCGAATTTCTCAGACTAAAATACTTCTTTAACTCCCATCTTTGCACGAATATTACTTTATCATGCTCTCTACGTATTCTTTGACGATTCGAGTGCTCTCATTTATGAAGATACGATGAAGATCAAAGAGGACAATAAACTCAATTTTATGACAATAAAGTATCCAAGTATTATTTAAGAAAAAAAAAAAAAAATAGAAAAGCAGCGAAGATAAAATACTATTTTTTCTTTTCTTTTTTTAATTTTAAATGTAAAACGAAATTAATTTCGTGAAATTCATTATTCATAGAATTTAATTTTATATATGAATTATAATATTACAAAAAATTGTTCTATACCTGTGTAGGAATTTTTCATTAATTATTAATTCTAAAGGATAATAACAATACTAATAATAGGATGTTCGATAAAACCTCACTTACATATCAAAATTTCCATTTCATGAAGCATTATAACAAAAAAATTATTCATCATATAAATTTTTTTAATTACATATGATAAAAATATAACATAACCATATACATTAGTTGTCGAAGAATTTTAATAATCTAAATATACTTTATACAATGTTTACCCCCCTCTCCCCCATAGTTAATTAGAAAGAATAAATAATTCAACTAACAATAATAAATAATAATAAATTTTAAAACGAACGGTAATGTACGATTTTTAACAAGACATTCTTATGCTATTGGTACGTAAATAAAAATTATGTTATTTAACTAAAAATCATAACTATATATAGAACCAATAGCATAACTCTATGTATCTTATTTTTTCATAAAACTATATTTTTATAAATATTGAAAATATATAAGATATATCAAAAATAAGAGATAATTATTTCATAATTTTAAAGAAAAATTACTGTTATATTTGTATCTTTGTTTTTATTTTTAATTATATAGCACATAGTTTTATGTGTTTATTGACCATTATTATTTACTACAGGATTAAATTTTTTTTTAACAATTAATACCTATTTAAAATATGGTATTAATCTATAAAAAAATATATAACATGTAATTTATGTGATAACATATGATAAAATACTACTACGATGTTCCAGTAAAAAAAATCATACAAAGAAATAGAAATGCAAATACGAGTCCCCACGAGAATTTTTTGACAAAAATCATGACGGTTCGTATTCAAAGAAGCTAACGAAAAATCGCGATTATATTTATCTTATGCATTTATAATTTTGACGTTAAACTTCGTTTGGAAATAAAAAATAAATAAAAAATGCTAAATTTGAAAATACTGTAAAAATGTGTTTGCGAGGTAACAAATAAAATTATCTCCTAAAAAACTCAAGATTCGCTCTTTCAAAAATGAAAACAAACATTTAAACCTAATTAAAAAAATTAAAATTTGTGTATAAAGTATAATTGAAACACATATGTAAATTACACGTAGATATATTTGGAAAATATCTCACGCTATAATTTATCAATAATTATTATTAGTGAATAGACAAGCGATAAGTTGTAGATTATAATCTTTTATCTTTGTTTTCTATCTTTTGCACAAACAATTGTTATAATTTCATAATTTTAGAATCAAGACTATTAACTATTTTACAATTTGCAAGAACTTTATCTATTTTACATTATCCATTTTATTACTATCATACAAGAAAACACTGGCAACTTGTGGTTTGTCAAAATTCACTAATAAATATTTAATCAATTGTGCAAAAAAATTAAAAATTGCATTTGTAACTTGACAACAAAAAAAGATACAAATAAATCCGTGACTTATTATTAAATGAACGAGGTATTCAAATGAAAATTACATTCTCATGATAAAAATAAACCATATAGCTGCAGTTGAAACGCAAATATAATCTGTTGAAAATTCAAAACGATGTGTCCGCAAAAATAAGTTGTAAAACGCAACGATCAAAAATATTTCTGTACGAAATATAAAACATAACCGACGACTAATTAAAAGATTTTCATTAATTGCGGTTCTCGGTCAATGGAACTCATAACTCGACTCGACGGGCTTTGACACAGCGTAAACTTTGTAATTTCCATAAATCCGTTTCATTTCGTGGCCGATTGCCGAGGGGCCGTCCTTTAACACCCTCTGCCGGACAGGATTAAAACTATCGTTGTTCCGGCCTGTCAGCTGCAAGCCGCGTGAAAATGCATTCGACGAAGCGTCCAATTTTGAAATTAATCGCGACCAGTTTCGTTTAACCGGCACGGACATTGTTCACCCCGGTAAAATTTTAATCGACGATCGACGATTAACACGACAGTGCGACGAGGAAGGAGGAAGAGAGGATCAATTCGAATTCGTTCCACCCGAATCGAATCTCGTTTCGTTCGACAAATTCGCGATCGTTGTACCGTGAAAAGAAACGAACGTTAAATCTCCGCATCCGTTACAATGCCAGATTTCAGCCAGATCTGGTAATCATCGAAACTTGTTCCACCAACGCGCGCTGGATTTCAGATTTGCACAGAATTCCCGATAGATTTCCACTTTTTTACCGTCTATAGATCTATGGACCATTGCCCTTCATTCCTCTTCCTTTTTCCCTTTTGTCCTTGGCATATCGTGCACGCTGGTCACGCAACAACTGGCTCGTAATTTCGCTCCAAGTGACAAGTAGCGCCGGAGAATGTATTTTCTCGACATTTCTAGGTCTCCTAGGTGGCATGTTGATCATGATCGTGGTAATGAGAAAATCGAGACCCTCGTGGATTGATCTATAAATTATTTAGATTCTATGTGGTTGAAGCTGGAATCATGTGTGAGTCGCGATAATGAGAAACGTGAAAGAACCGCGAGGAGGAAAAGGCGAGAGTGCGATAGGAAAACCTGTGGATCGTTGAAAGCTCTGAAAAGTCAACCGCGAAGATCGACGAGACACTTTACTCGAATGAAATACTTCGAATACGTTACGCGTTTGTATATATATGGCGCTAATTAAAATGAGATATTGACTCGTCATAGCTAGCTGTTATCCTCTTTTATTTGCAGATTATATTACGATGTTATGTAACCACTTTATTATTAGATTACTTTTGATTTAATTAAATGATTATTTTATTAAATTATTTTTCATGCCATATTTATTTTATGATTTAAGAATGTATCGAAGTTATTTTGGAGACCTAACTATATCTCTGACTAGCGGTATACTTTTTTTAAAATATTCCGATTTTTACAATCGTCATCATTAAAAAATATACTTTCCACGTCACATTTTGCTATTCAATTTTCAACCACCTTTTAAAAAATAATACTATTCTATTTTATAGAGCAAATCAATTCGATATAACTTAAATAAACAGATGAAGTTTTTTTTTTTTATTTAAACCTCTTTCATAATCATCGACATATACATGTGTAGACGTGGATAAAAATTTAATTGCATTTTGACGAATGGGATGATTCAGACTTCATCTTTCATTTCTTAAGTGCTCCACTTCTAAAGTTTAATAGGATGAAAATACTGGTCGAATATAACATTATATCCACTGGAATAATATTTTTCGCTATAATATCCCAAGTGTTTGAAATGAAGAACCTTTGAGCGTAATAGAGATTATAAAATATTTCAGATGGTTGGTACGCCATTAACAAATAAATGTTTGCGAAACTATGGAGGCTAGGGAATTCAGATATTGGCAATAATCATCAAAGAATTGAGTAACAAGGATATTAATCGTTATTCTTGAGATCATCTCTGTCGATATTGTACGATAACGATTCTATAAAGCTATTAAACTTTTTGAATCGTGTATTTTATATTAAATAATTGAAGGAGAAATATAATAACGATTATTGTAATAAGAACAAAAGAAAATCAGTACGTAAAATATTAACAATATTTTCACAAAAAAAAAATTTATATCCACATTTTGGATAATCAAAAACATTGTAAAAATCCCAAATGTGAAAATTTTAATGGAATAATTAATAAGATAATAAAAATTCCAATCCCCCTGAAAGAAAGATCCCAAAAGCAATTTTTAAACTTTCCAACCATCTTTCTAATTACATATATATTTCCACATGTAAATGTATGTTTTTTTAAATATTATTCCAAACGAAAAATTATGATTCTTTTTTCAAACTAATTCATAAACAATAAAAAGAAAAGAATCCCCCAAACATTTTTCCAAATTTAAATCATCTTCTAACCCCACCAAATAGGATAATATCCAATCACTTTTTCAAACATTAAAACGAACAAATTTCCACGTGTACACTCGTGTGTGCATCACGAATATCGCGACAAGACATATTCGTGTCTCATTCACGTTTAACCTTTCGAATAAAACGGAATCCATTACGCACGCGAAGAATACGACGCGCATGAGTCCAGAGCATTTCCATTTATATTACCTTATCGTTGCTCTTCCAGCCTGCTACTACCCTTTCCCCCCTTTTACCTGGATTCCTTCTTTCTCTCCGTTGTTCCTCTTCCTTCTTCCTTGTTCTCGCGCTCACCTGATCGTCGACGAATTTCCTCCTCACTCCTGACGAAGGACCACGGTGAACACGCACTTGCTCGACCAACCTGCTTCATCGCTCGCCTCGTACTCCACTCTGTGGCCACCGACGTCGAAACGTCGTCCAGGACTCTGAAACATAAAAAAAAATGAAGTGGTTAATATTAGATAATAAATACCATGTTGAGTCTAATATTGTACAAACGAGAAACTTACTTGTCGATTTTTTTTTAAATTAAATTCGTAAACTTTATATTGTTTTTAACATTTATTTTATTGATATACTTTTCTTATAATATCTTGTTAATTTTCTCCAAATGTTTCTTAGAATCTTATATTTTATGTTTTCTAATGTATTTGATATAATTAATAAATAGAAATAGTTTAAAATATTCTATTTCTGTATTATTTTATTTTATTTTTAAAAAAAGTATAAAATAAAACATGTTTTCGTTTATTATGTATTTTTCTAACATTCTACAATTTTATATAAATTTAAAATGACTAATGAATTAGTTATGTTTGCAAATTGAATAAGTTGTTTTAATCATGTGCATGTAGTTCTTGCTTATGAATTAATGAATTCTCAGTGACCGTTCATAAATCAGAGATTCAAAGTTTATTAGAAATTATATTATAAACGAAAATTATATTTATAAAAAGGAATGTGTAAAATATAAAATGAATATTAAATGATAGAAAAAGAAAAAACTTTTACGCGTTTAAAAAAATAATTCAAGATTTTTAGATTTGCAACAATTTTGAGATTTTACTCGTAATCACAACTTAAAATAAAAATTCCCAAAAATTTATAAAAATAAGAACTATTTCTATTTATTAACTTATTCTGTAATACTTTCGCATAGCAATATTTCATTTTTTAAAAAAATAACTTTCTTTTTTATTCTCTTTTATCCTTACATACACACATTTGCTCGTGTTTCAGCTGCGGTTTAATTCAATTGGATCCACCTTGAAGCACAGAAGAAGGTTTAGAATGCGTGTAAAAAGAATAAAGGGTGGCCGGTATTGAGGCAGCTTCATATTCTCTCTACAATGTTACTTAATCGTAAAACACGATTTACCATTACCAAGTTAGTTTGTAAAACAAAATTGTTACACGATATTTGCATAGAAACATGGATTCTCCACACAAACTTTCTACAGCGCAGTTTAAATTCTCGTCAAACTTTCTACAGTTTGCTCTGCGAGCTATTCTAAACCGACACACGAGGTCAAATCGACATCGATTACTATGACACATCGATTTAATAGATAATGAAAACTGTCATTCGTTAGATGAATCATGTCGATATCGTTATGATCGAATCATATCTAGCTCGCAAAATTTTTCCATTCCTCTTTTGTCGTTTGATACAAATTTTTGTGAATACGATATATTCGATGATCGTAAGAATGATTTGTTTTTTTTTTAATATTTATTGTGTTATTCTTCAATCGAGAATATAAATATTCTGTCTTTTTTTATTGCAACATTAATTGCATTGCTACTTTTTCTCTTTTTTCTTTTTTCTTTTGTTAAATGGTTATACGAAATTCATTAAATTATGAATAAATTATATCATAAGAATTGTTTGAGATAAGAAGANAATTTTAATTTTTTTTTTTTTTTTTTTTTTTTGAGAACTATTTATTAAGTAATTTAATCTTTAAATATTGATACTTCCTGTTTGTTTCAATCCACTATCTTTATAACTTTGAATTCAGTTTTATGTATTCAGTTTTAGCATTATTTATGCAAATGAGGAATATCCTTCGTGTTTAGTACTAAAAAACCTGTTTATATAAAACAGATAATATCTTTAAAATTCATATATGTAAATAAAAATATCTATTAAGAAATAAAAATTAATTTATGCAGTACAAGATTAAATTTCACCACACGATATAAAATAATAGTATTGATATGAAATATTGAAGCAAATTACGAAAAGGATGAATATATGATGTTCCTCTTATAATGAAATTTCTTAAATTTATTCGTTGACGTACAAAGATACCGTATTCTACAGTAAAATTCTTTAGCAATAATTGTACTGGTAAAGAATATCATATAAATATTCATTATATAAGATATTTATTAATTATATAAAATACCGAATTGATTTCAATTTGAAAATTTTACATTGATTTGGATTTACACTTTAGATTTTTCATTTAACGATTAATGAAATAATAATTTAGGATTAATTTAAGTGATTGCAGTTTAAATTTGAATATTATCATTCTATTTAAATATTAAAAAAGAAAAATGAAAAATAATCTTGGCAAAGATTTATAATAATGAAGAAAAAATCTTTTAGATTTGTGATAATAAAAATGAAAAAGAGAAAAAAATATTATTAAAATAATTAAAAATAAATTTCCTCTTTTCTTTCTTCTATTTTTGTCACACAGCATGATAAATCCAAAATAGATAATGATAATCGAACAAAGCAAATGAGCATATATGAATATTTTTTTTTTTTTTTTTTAATTAATGTACTCTTCGAAAGATTCCAGGAATATTCAACGAAATATTCTCAAATTCTTTGATTAATTCCTATGAAGCTTTATCAATTGGATCGACTATAAAGCTGCGATGCGTATGAAATTAATAAAAATCGCATGGAATTTCACACTGATCGAGATTCATGCGATTGCCGAACAAGAGAAATGTTTCACGCCATTATTAAGTAAAATGAAATGAAACAAAGAGACTCAAAAATCGATAAATGATCTGTTATCATATATACGATCAATCCTGTGTATCATTTCGAAACTTTAAGTTTTTGAGTTTTTTAATCTTGACGTTTAATTTAATTAAAAGATTTTTTATTATTTTTTTTTTAATACAAGCATAAAATTAAATTTGAATTATGAATATATTATACACTGAATTTATCAGTGTGAATTTTTTTTTATAAAAACTTAAATATATATAATATATTATAACCAATTTTGTAATTTATTCATTTTTATTACACTCATTATCCATGTGAATATATAAATTTTTAATCTTGAATGAAATTAAAAAAACATCGTTAAATTTTTAAAATTAAATCTTTTCTCATGAAAGAAAAACATTTCAGTTGAGTTGTACAATTTTTAAACATAACGAACAAAGTAAAATCTAATTATTATTACAAGCTAGAATTATTTCATGATAAAACAGAAATATAATAATAATACAATTATCTAATAAAGCTTTGCAATTAATGATCAACAAGTATCATTTATCGAACTATATTAATTATAAGATTTTAAAATCCAAAACAAATATAAAAAGTTATACAAACCTGACGTAATAAATTTCAGCTTGAAGCTTTTTTTTCATTTATTTCACTATAAAAAAAAAAAAAAAAAATTCACCAGTGAAATAAAAGCGTTTTATTCTATCTCCCTTTAACACAAAACTTCTAATTCCTTATAAGTAATGGATGACCAACTTTTCAGCTTCTTTTAGCCTCTAAAATCGACCCTTCGAATCTGTCTCATCAACATCTTATATAATTGAAATATACTGAAGCTATACTCGTATAAATCTTCATGATTAGTACAAACGAAGAAGTCCAAAGTCTATGTAGAACCTATAACATATTCTCCAACAGGCATCAACCTAATAACGAACGTGACACACATTCGACGATATATCGCGGTATGATCGAACATCGTTAAGAAATTAAGTGCTTTATAATTAACACTGACCTCGTTGCTCCTAATCCGGGTCACCTTCACGTTGTCCGTGAAAATTGGCTCGGTCCACGTAATCGCTGTCCCATTTCTCCCCGTGACCTCTATGTCGTTCGGACAGTCTTTAACTTTTGGCGCCTCCCCTCCTGAAACGCGATAAAATCCAATCAAAAGACCTTTCCTCCGCTTAGAAGCGAACCGCTCGTTTCGAATAGAGAATAAAGGATTATATAAAGGATATAAGCGACGTGTCTCCTTGGATAAGTTCAAATTCAACCCCCCTCCTATCTTTTACGATTCTAGTGGATGTAGGTACGGTATAGAGAGTCAGGAATTTCGTAGGAAAATTTCATTCAAAATTGAGGGTATAATTTGATAAAGTTTCTTATAATTTTACATTATAAGATTGCGTTCTATTAGAATCCGTACAAGTTTCTTTCTTTTAATACATAAATATACGTATATATATATGTACAGAAATATGCATCTGTATCGTCGCGCCATCTCTGCACCACATTCTACAATTTTAAAATTGATATTAATTTTTATCTCCGAAAATCATGTATATTAAAATCCAACTCAGTCACAACATATTAATCCCTACATTATTATTCCACATGTTGATTACTTAATTAAAAAGGGAAGGGATCGTTACGAATCAGCAAGTTGAAATCGTCGTGTGTTTTGAAATCCTCGTCTTCTCTTTGCCTTTGCACGCTAAATAAACGATCTCAACGCAACGCATCCCCCTTCGTAAATCATGGACCACGATTAAAAACTCTTTGCAACGTCAAGGGGGAAGAAACTTCATCAGGCTACGTTTAATTAGTTCCGGTAAATTAGATCTCGAGAGCAATGTGGATCATCGCGAATCCATTTATTCGGACATCGAAAAACGTTACATCCTATTCTGAGGATAGTTGGCGAGTTTCGTTGAATTACGATGGAACCTCGATATTTGAACGAGATGGAAAATGCATGGAGCAAGGTTCATGTTAAAATTAACGAGATAGCCAATAAATCTTATGTATGAAACTTGAAATCTAGAATTCCGTTTTCCCTAGAATGTGTTCATTTGCGCGGGAATCATTTTATCGTATTTATCTTTGAAAAAATGTAACGATGGAATTATGAATTTTAACATCCATATTCAAGTATTCAAGTAGCTTTTCTTTCTCTCTCTTTTTCTTAAGGATTTTCAAATTTGGATCATTACTGTTTGATATATTTATGATTAATTTATATTCCAAATATATTCTAAAATAATTTTCTTCGTGCAACATCTTCTTATCCCCTTTTCCAAAATTTCTTCTAATATTTCTTCTAATATTTATACAGATTTTTATATTTATTTATATATTTTTTTTATATTTTTATATTTATTTATATATTTATATATTTATATATTTTAATAAAAAAAAAATTTTTACTGAATGAAACATATATAAATGAAAAATTAGATATTTCTTTGATCAAAATCTAAGACTCTTGGAATTACCATTATATCATCCACCCTAAAGGTATAATACGCAAAAATGAAATAATTCTATTACGCGAACATTCGTGCGTATAATGGTATGCGAAATATTTCGCAAATTATATTTTACGTTCAATTTACGCCAAACCGGAATAAACTGTTGCACGGTGAGAGGAAACAAGCACAGTTTGCGGAAAGATCACCTGTAATATTAACGCGTTTAATTGCTTTAGAAAACGTTAGAATCGTTAATGTTGCATGAATTATAGCAATTCACGTTGTCATGCGCTGAATTAATCTTGCGTTATATGGATAATATGACGATTGGATGCGAATTAGATGTGTCTAGTTACCGAGAGATTTAATCGATTCGATATTCGGATATTGGTGAATAAGAGAGCTTATTAACGCTTAAGTGTGGTATGGTTGATCAATGACTTTTACAAAATATTCACTGACAAAGAATTCTGATAGTTGCGATAATATAGCGAAAAATATGGAAAATAATCGAGGTATTACTTTTTTTTTTTTTACAATATATATTAGCGTACGTTTTAAGGAATAAGATATGGATTAAAGAAATTAGAAAAAATTATGAAAGATTATCTGTTAAGGAAATTACCATTTTGTATCATTGTTATTTCATTAATGGACTTACTGTTATTATTTTCAGGAATATTAATAATAAATGTAAAAAATATTAGAAATCCTAATGCCTAATCTAAATGGAAATCTAAAGAGGTGGTTTCTCGAGTTCAATTATTCTCGAGAAAATTTCTTTTTAAAAACAATTTTACAATACTTGAATTTTTTCGAAAATGAACCACTTCTTCATTTTTCGTTTTTTTCTTATCCACGCATAATCATGAAGTTAGGTGGTGTTATAAAATATGCGTGCTTTCGCAAAAATCTAATCCTTGTGATATAAAACACATGCAGTAAAATATATTCGTTGCATATCTTCCACGTAACTATGGATTTTTGCATTTATAGCAACTTCATTCCGGGTTAGATAGACTATTATATTTCATTCTTTTTTATTTACCTTCCCTTTTCGTGATAAGAAAAGAATAACGGTTTGCTTGCATGATCATCGTTATACAGTAAATCGTTTTTTTTTTTTTTTTATTCCATGTACGATGCTTTTCATATAGATATAGCGAAGAAATTTGAATATTAAGATTAAAGAAACGAATAGCTTTTTGGAACGTTTCACAAAAGAGATGATGGCTATAATTTTTTTAATCTATGAATAACGAGAAATAAATGAAAAATAGATAAACAATTATCGTTTCTGTAATTGAATTCTTTTTTCATCTGCAGCTGATTGACAAATAAAACGTGAAAAAATGATTATTATCTCTACAATTCTTTTTTCATTCGCAGTTAATTAACAATTAAAAAAGAAAAATGTCTGCAATGATTGAGAAAATTGATCGTATTTATATTTTAAACGAAATTATTTTTATAGAGAAAAATCATGTTATATGAAGTATTTTTATTGAAATAAATCTTAGAAAATAATCTCGAAAATCAAAAAAATATTATCTTTATTTAATAATAAATTTAGTTTGTTTAATAAAAATAAAAATAGTTTGATATACGATCAATTATTCGAATCATTATAATTATTGTTTTAATATATCTATAATTATTGTTCTAATTTTATTTCAATCGATAATTTATTTGAAGATTAAAAACGAAGAAGTAATTATTGTTTTAACAACTTAACGTAAATATTATAATGTTTCATAAATTCATAATTAAATAAATTTTTAAAGATTAATCAAATTCATTCATCGAATATTTACACGTAATACATAATTTACACACGACATCGTGGCAATAATTTCAATTCAATCAATTTAATTTGTTTTAATAAAAACAAGCACAATACGAACGTTAGTCTATATTGAGCAATTAAACGATCACGTTCCACGTCTTGTTTGCCTCGAAATGATATTAATTTCCAGTTAATAAGACAAAATACGATTATGTCCGCTCGCATGCATTAAATTAAATTCGAAGCTCGTTAACGTTGACGTGAAAAACAAAAAGATGATCTTTTGCATACGATTTTACATAGATTTTTTTAAACATCTTTCAGATCATTGTGAGTAATGTAGATTAAGCGGCAATTTAATCCCGTTTCTCCCTTTAAACCCAGTCAATTCCATTTTTAATTACCAACGTTGCGAAGTACGCCGTTTTAACGCAAAAACATTTTCATTTCAACGAAGGAAAAATGGAAAGAAGGGAAAAAGTTAAATGAAGGGTGAAATTACAACTGGCACGGATAGAGAGCAAACGAGAGAGTTTTGTCGACGCGAAATGTTTGAAAATTATTAATCGTGTAATTCGACGACTCGGTTTTATTAATTACACTTCGCTAATTAAAAACGCGACAATGATGATAAACGATGGTGACATAATTTTGATTGAAGTACACTACGTATCGTTCCAAATTTATTTAGAACAACTGATTGAAAAGAGTTTGGGGAGAGAAGGATAGAATAATAGTTATCAAATATTGTGTTTGATAGAAAAATATTTGTTTTCCATATCTTTTGCTTTGTAAAGCATGAATAATTTTGAAATAAATAAAATGAAATATCAAATATCATTATTATTAAATAATAAATAAATAACACGGATTAAAAAATTAGAAAGATAATTTTAAATAAATTCTATGAAATTAATCAACCTCGCAGAATATAAAATCTCTTTCATCCAAGTTTTTCATCTAAATAATCTTTCACTTCATCGTCATCATCATCATCATCGTTCAAACTTTGTATAAATCATTCCTCGTCTAAAAGATCTAAAAAATAAAAAAAAAAAAGAAATTCTACGTATAACGTTAAAGACGAAAAATACTTACCAAAATGGAATCAAAAGAAGCTCAACGCGTATACACCTATCGAAACACTCATCTATTCCTACACGCGAATCACTCAAACACTTGCTCCCTCATTCAAACCGCCCTCCTAATTATTCCAATCAACATAGCTCGCTCGACAGCATCCCAATTTGTTGCCCCATTTCTCCTATCCATTCACGCGGAAAACGTTACCTGAAACGTCTACATATCTGCTCGATATTCATTAATCCGAAAAGCCCGCGATCCAAGGGAAAAACAACGTTGTAAGGGAGCATACTCTCGCTAGGGGATTCAGCGGTTTCCAGGAAGAATCAGTGGAGCGTTCACTCGGAGGGGGATTCATCGAATAATCTAATTCGTGGGCCAACGATCCCTAGATTATACACCATTGCGGCGAACCCTATCCCGGAAACGCATTTAATTAAATCGTCTGAGATTTCGTCCAGACTAAGCAAGAAGAAGAAACGTTCCTTCTTTGCGTGGAGATTTTATGGGATGGTTGCTCCAAACTTAGAGGAGATACCATGTTCAAGGAAACGAGACAATAAACGATATTTCCTTTTAATGTTGTTTCGTATTTTTAGAGCCACTGTACGTGTAACACACTTTTCTCATACTTGTTAATCTGTTTGATGGTGTTATGTAATGTAAACTATAACGTTATTTCTAATCTGCATTGTACTGGCACGTTAATTAGTTAGTCTTTTGTCAAATGCGACAAGTAATTTTATATTTTCATATTATCCACAATTTTGTCGTAATACGATCACGATTATTGAATATAAATTAATATCGTCAGGTATAAAGCATCTATGCATCAAGTGGAAATACCTGGCAAAACATGCGTGGTCAAAGTTGAGCTGAAAAATTAATTAAAATTTTGAATAAAATCATTTTAAATATATATTGTATTTATAATAATCGGATAATATTTATTTTATCATTTTAATTATTATCCTTTGAATAATAAATTATCCAAAAGAATTCCAATTAAAAAACTTTATTTTTAACTTTAATAAAATTCTATAGTTCTGTTCGTGCATCGATCAAATGCACTTTGCTATTCCTCCCGTTGAACACAGACTATAGTTTTCATTCTTCCACGCCATTGGTAACTCGAGACAATCGAATGCCGCGCTTTAAGAGTCATTTTAATGAAAGAACGTACCGCATTCCCGCGCATCTTAGAATCTAACTTTCGTTGGATGATCGTGTTAATGGCCACCGCCACCGGAAGCTTTTTAAGCGACACGCTCGACGCGAAAACACGTAATGACGCATTAAGTCGGGAGAAAATGCGGGGTGAATGGGCTCACGGCTATTCCAGTAATAGGTTTTCAGTCAGGAACACGCGAAACCTTCTTCCACTTCTAGAGGAGAGGTCTGACGTCGACCCACATCTCGAATCGTCGTTTCGGAATTTTTCCTTGGCGGGGTGAGTTCCTTCGTTCAATTTAAAGGATTTCGTTTTGCTGTGGTGTGGAAATAGAAGGGGGAGGTGAAGGAAGGGTTAATTAAAAGGGGAATGGAAAAAGAGGAAGGGAAGGTTTTTGAATGTTTTGGAAATGAGTTCGAGGAAATGGAGTTTCTTCGATTTAAAGGGTGATTTAAAGCGATAATGTATCGAGTTTCTCAAAATGTGAGTAACATCGATGAAATTTAAATATGAAGACGGTAAAATGAATACGAATTATTATCTACGATAAATGATCAAATACAGGGATTTCCTGTTAATTAATTAAAAATAGTTTTTAAATGATGATTTTTCATGCGATATCCATCTTGATTAATTAAATATATATAAATTACTTATAAACCTTTAAATCTACTCTACTCACTAATAATAAAAATTAATCGATACTATCGATAATAAGTTTCAAAAAAAAAAGAATTATCAATCGATTTCATTTGGATAGAAACACCTAAAAGAAACAGAATGTCATTTGAAAGAAGATTAATACATTATTATACGTACCCTCAACAGTCCCTTAAACCCGGGAAAATTAATCGTTGCCCGTTCTATCGGCCAGGATAAGATCCACCCTCATTGATTAATAGAAGGGTTTAACGATCATTACCGATCATTGGCGAGATTTCACGGATCAATTTCATGCACAGGCTATTAATTAATCACCTTTGACAATGATGCGCAACACGCAGCTAGCTTGCTTCTTCGATACCGGGTGTCTCGCGAAGAACGTGATCTCATGCACACCCGGGGTTAGATTAGCCTCCAGCCTGGTCCCCCAGGAGGGTTTCGATCGAACGTACCGGAACCAATCGAGATCTGTCGAGGGTTGATCGAACGTCACGAAGGCCTCGTCTCTTCCTGGTGGCAGTTCCGCGACCACATCTTTCGGGCACTCTAAACGAGGCTTGCTGTATCCTGCAACGAAAGGTAAGAGATAGAAATCGTTAATAAAATGATATTATAGTTGAGAGAAGATATCAAGATATAAATCAACCATGAATTTGAGTTACGTGAAATAGTGAGTCGATTAAATTATTCTTAATATTTTTGAATTATTTTCAGAGTTTATATTCGAGATGGAGTTTTGGAAGATCGATTCAAGTTATAAACTATTTATGTTGACGTTAGAAGAAGTAAGATATAATAAATAGAATGGGATAGTGATAGAGATAGATTGTACAACAAATGGAGAAGTAAATATATGTGTACTATGATATTAAAATAATATTAATAATAGTAATATTATTTAATGAATTTCACTTTTAATTTTAATTATTTAATACATCTAGTCTTGATAATATTCTTATAAAATAAAATTTAAAGTAAATAAAATTAAGTCTTCTTTATTATAAATTCCTTATTTTACATGTATTTCTTCTTAAAATGAAGTACAAATTTTTGTACTTTAAATCAACAAATTTCCCGTGTTTAATTAGAATCAGAATGGTGGAAAGACGTAGACTACGATAATGCTATGCAAACACTAAATATATATGGAGACTCAAATGTTTGATCACATCAATATGTTTGATTCAAGCTGGTAATATAGTATTGTTAATTATTAAGCTAACTTTGCGTTTCACATGAAAAAGTAGATTAGAAAGTCTAATTTCAGAAATATTCCTAAATCTTCAATAACTGTCATTTTAAATAAAATTTGCTACAAATCAATTTTAATTAATTGCACGTATAAATTATAATCCTAAATTTAAAATAAAAAAAAAAAATAAAAAAAACAAATTTTGTTACTTACTGACACACTCGCCGTGTTTTGGGCCGTCCCACGAACCATCCGATCTACAAGTCAATTCGTATTCTCCGTGAAGTTGATACCCATGGGGACACTTCAAGAAACATTTGGTACCTGGTCGATTGGCCACTCTTCGTCTACCTCTCCATGGCTTTGGAGTAGCTAAACGTGAACACATTAAATATCCTCGACCCTCCGGATTCAATGGTGGGCAGGATACATTATTTATATCTGGAAAAGAAAAATCGAAGTCTGTCCTAAGGCTGTGTTATTAGAAAACGAACATTTTTTTAAAACTTATATATCTTTAACCCTCCTTAATCTTCTAAGACAAATCGACCTAAATCACGAGAAATAAGAAAAGATATTACTCTATACGTGAAATATATTGTCTTTTTAAGTGAATTTCACGAATCTTATTTTCTATAAAATATAAAAACTAACCGAGAAAATAATGTAATTAAATGCCACATTCTTTTCAGTTGAAGATTTAATTTATAATTTAATTGAATTAGATTTAAAGAAGTAAAATGTTTATAATCTTTCTTACTTTTATTATATTATTATATTATAATATTTTTCTTTAATCTCTACACTATAAATTATAAAATATAAAACGAAATTCATTTGTAATGTAAACCAGAAATTCTTCATCTTTATATTATTTCTACATAGAAAGGAATCATTTGGTGAAAATAAAAAAAGAGAAAAACCTATAAACACCACATCTCTCCAATATTCATCAAACATTCGACTCCTATTCCATTCTTGTAACACCGATCATCGATACGAATCTGCGAATCTCTTTAATCCATTTACAATTAGCCAGACTTTCCCTGCCACGAATTTACCCCGAAATCAAGGTAATTTCTGTCACCGTTAATATCCAGTCTAGCAAGGACGTAACCGAGATGTCGATCTCGCGACATCGCCCAAGCGTTGCACTCCGTGTCTGCTCCTATTATTCCCCATGACTACTACCCTAATATACGAATTATGAATGTTAATGACGATCGTGGTGGGGGTAGACACATGTCGGTGCTACATTTGCAAGAATCAGATCCGTGACGGTTCTGCACAGGGGGAGCTAGTCTCAATGGATTGTTTCAATGGAAAACTGGATTTTCGAATGTAAAACGGATCCACTTGACAATGGAAAATCTTGAGGATCCGCAATATCTGCAATACCTCGGTTTCAATCGCCAATTCCGATATCGATTAACTCATTAAGGAGCAATCTCGTGTTCGCACAACATTTGCAATTTTCCCCTTGGTTGATTTACATTATTGAATTCCGGATGTTGAAGAAGAGGATTCCAAGAATTTATTTTCGTCTTTATTTTTTTTTTCTATTTAAGTTTAGAATTATTAAATGAATGTTCTTTATTTAATTAAACTTTAATCTAAATTTTGGTATCAATTTTCAAGATTCTGAGAGAAGTGACTATATCATTCCTCTTTATCAAATTTGTTTTCTCAAGTCAGTAATCAAATCATCAAAAACGGGATTCCTATTCTTCTAATCTTTGTATGGATCAAACAGTTATATATTACACATTCTACATTTCGAATAGCAGAACTGTCATAATATATGAAATAGAAATAAATTTAACGCGTATCAATATATGGTTATTAAATCTACGTATAAGTAATGATTAATTCTGGTATTTGGAATCTGCTTTCGGACTAAGAACTAAGTCAACGTTAATGCTTTTAGACCGCTTCATAGATGACGAGTAAAGCCCTCGTTAGCAACAGAAGGATTAAGAGAGTGCAATGTCGATTTGCTTGGTATCTGTATATCTAAGCCCTATAACGTGCACTCTAAACAAATAATCCTACGATATGAATCATTCCAGTGAAAGTTAATTTGATTTTTAAATGTGAGTAAATTAAAAAAATTGTTGAAGATATAGTTGTTCAAAAAATTATCAGTAAAGAAAACTATGATAATTAATAAATATCTATTAGTCTATTAAAGGATAAATTAGAATTTTACAATATTTACAGAAGATTTAATAATCACAATTTAATTCTAATATAAATTCGATACTTCGTTTTTATTTTAAATATTGATTTACCATTTTTAAATATTGATAACCACGATGCATTGTAGTTGTTATAAAATTTCTTCATTTTCCCATTCATTTATACGATATGCAAAATCTAAAGAGGAAACAACACCGGTTAATTCGAAATACATTTCTATCCTTATGAAATTGAAATTTCAACTTTCTCCGTATTATTCCGATTTCGTTTTCCAACTTGTTCAAATTTTTGTTCCACGAGTTTACTTTCTCGTTTTCATAAACTTACCAAGCAATAAGAAAGACACAAGAAGTTCCAACGTGAAATTTGCATTGGATAAAGGTGCACGCTAATATTTTACAAGTTTCTCCGAGAATATGAAATCAAGTGACCCAGATTGTGATTGTTTGCACAGTTATTCCGTCTCGCCACGATGGTTTACATTTCCCGACGAACCGATAATTGTCGAATTTCATTCTATTATCGACGAAAATTACGTTTGAAAAATCGAGTACAATGCTAGAGAAAAATATAACGAGAAGTTTATTCTTTGTCCTTTACGAAGAATTAAAAAATTTGATGGATTTGGAAGAAGAATCGAGACTCTAAAATAATTTTTTAACCGGAAACTATTTTGATTTAATTCGAAAAACTAACCTTAGCTTCTCCGAGAAAGAAATATCGATGACAGGTAATAATCTTGTCTTTTATCGTCTCCATAAGATATTATATTACAACTCAATGCAAAGATCATTTTGTACAAATTAGAAATGAAATTAGATAAACTTAAGCCTTTAATAATAAACCACTGCATTCGTACAGAATCACAAATGAGACTTCGATTTTTCGATATAAAAAGTGCAAGAAGAAACTGAAAATTTTGTCATTAAAACACACTCGAGAGATGGAGAAAACCATACCATTGAAGCTCCTTTTTATTTCGTCCCGATATCTTTATCGGTTGCTGAGATATAAAGACTTAAAGTATCCATAGCGCGACGTGCAGAGATTATGAATGGGTCTGCAACTCGGTGACCTATATTTTTTCTTGGAAACACGTACTACATTCTTCCAAGAATCGTGTACTACGTTTTTCCAGGAATCGCGTCTGTCATTGGTCTGGAATTTGGAATAGGTCAGTGAGAAGAAGTGCGAGCGAGAGATCCGAATAAGGCGACGAGGACGCAGATAGTAAAATAACCAAAAATTATCCTTTCCTTTACACGACGATATCTTAGGAACCGGAAGTCGTATCGGGACGAATGAAAATGCGTTTTAAAAAGCAAAGTTTCGCGTCTCTAATGATCTTTCATTTATTAATTAGAAATGAATATCTTTCGAGTTATAACGCTTTGAAGTTTCTTTAATTTTAATAAAGTTTAATCGAGCTTTAAGGTAAATTACTGTTTACTTCTGGAAAAATATGTTTATGTATAAAAATTAGTGTAGCTATAACTTTAGAAAATTTATACAAAGTCAATTCAAATCTACTTCAACATGAAACTAATAAAATAAATAGAAAAAAGAAGATAAAAATTAAAATCAGAAAATTTCAGTAGCAGAAATATTCGATAAATCGTCAAGAACTAATCGTTTAGAAATTTCTCAGAGCGAAAACGTTCTAAATCATCTTGAAAAAAATTACCGACAGCGATGTACGATATGTGATACATAAGTGGTTCAATGAAGTGAGAGGGAAAAAATAGACACGTTAACTTCGTCATGGAGACAAGAAATAATGTGAAATGAAACATAGAAACATTTCTTTTTGCAACAAAAATTGATTTATAGCGATGTTTGAAATCAAAAGAATTTGATTATATTTTTGATGCTCGAATAATTTTAAAAATTAATTTTAAAATTATTATTTTCATTGATTTTGTCACATAGATTTCCATATTATTTCCAGAGACTTTTACTCGATAATTTTATGGTAATTTAATTTTCGTTTTCAACAAATAATATTTCATACTATGTAAAGGTAATTCCGACAATGAACGAAAAAAATTCGGAATTAAGATTAAAAAATATTTAAATTTCACAAAAATTTCTCATTCATTAATTTACATTACAGCGGACATCGTTTCGTATTAAAATACGAATAAATTTATAATGGAAGAAAATATAATACGTATAAAAAAAAAAATAAGATGTAAAAAGTCAACAAAAGTATAAGTTTTATAATATATGCTAAGAAAAAAAGAAGCGGAAACTTCAAAAATTTAATTTTACAAAAACTACCTTTTCTATAAGTAGTATCTACTAAAATCTGGAAGATCAAAAGCACTATTAAAAGATAAACACGCAATTCAGATTTCCTCATTCCATCCCAGTGAGAAAGTGCCTCGAGGCATGAATTAATCCGACTGCAAGAAACGCGAGTGAATTTGTAGTTGTCCCGCGGATAAAAGGGAAGTATTACTCAGCCGTGTAAGTATTAATCGCAAAAACGTTTCTCGTCACGTGTGTGTCCATGATAGCATTATTACATAGCCGAGAAATTTTCCCCCGCCTCTCGGTGGAACATATTGCGTTTCCCAGACGCGCGAATGATGTATGATCCTCGAGGATGGGACGAGTAGTCGAATGAAAAGAAGTTCCGAAACTTCTCTCCGAAGAAAAGGGAACATTTCGAGGGACGACAAGTACAGGATGTATCAAAATTGCTGGGCGATTTGATACGAGACGATAATGGATGGCGAAGAAAACGTTTCTTGTTCGATAAATGGTTAACTCTTTTCTTAGTGAATGAAGGTTCAAAGATGAAGATGAATTTTCTTGAATTTTTTTCGTTGAAAGAGAAGAATTTTGAAAAATTTTCCGTCCGTTTTAATTCGAATATTTTCTCTTTTTTCAAATATGATAGGGTTCTAATCACTTGGAAAAAATTTCTTTGTTGATTTGTAAATGTTTCAGAATTATTTCTGAATCAAATAAATTTATCGTATAATCAATTCCTAATCTCGACGATGAAATTTTTTATTAATTTTAACAAGTTATTTAATGTATCGACGAGAACATGAAAGTATAATCAAAATGCTCATTAATCCTTTTCCTCATAATATTAAATCATAAACGAATTATGAATATATCATCGTTATACATTAGATATATATTCGAGTATTTACTGTGAAATAAAACGATAAATATTCAAAAATAAATCTGGCAATACTTTTCTTTTTCAAAAATTTTTTTTAAAAATAAGAAAAAATTAATATCAAATCTTAGCCAGATACTTTAATGATCTCTTCCTTTATTTATTTAACCAATATTTGCTAGAAAAAAAACCAATTTATGTATATTAAAAACTTTCCATCAATCTAAAATTATGAAACATTCTTTACAAAATGAGAAACTCACCCACGCAAGACTTGCCATCCGACGATAGAGCTTTCTCGTCACCGTCACAGGCGCAGAAGAAACTCCCATCCGTATTTTCGCAGACTTCTGTGCACCCACCGTTGTCAACCGTACACTCATTGATATCTGCACAAAAATACGCAGAATTAATATCACATATGGTGCATGATAAACAATCACAGGACATTGTTACATTTAAACGCTCAGGATTTACGCGAACGGAATATTTCACTTTTCCCTTTCCACCATCGTAATTTATAAAATTTTTAAAACCGACCGTTACGTGCCGAGTTTACAAATGATTTTGTAATGAAAAGAGGACTAGTAGCATATAAACTAGAATTTTACAAGATGAGTGGAGCGCAAGTTGCAAAATATTCGAGGAAAAAAATTATATGAAAATCATTTATTGTTGCATGATATTAATCATCGATTTAATGTGCGCTTCTTAAATTGATTTTTAATGATATTACTCTAAGTACGTAACAAAAATTTATTTCTAACGTATCTCTTTTTTTAAATTCTTAACAACATTTGAATTTGTATAATACATTATGCAAAACATTATTTACCTACATTTTCTCTAACAATAAATTCTCTAACAATAAATATAAATTCGGAACTGATCAATCAATCAATGACATAGAATGTAAAGAAAAAAATAAAGATGTACCCAACTTTCTACACACTTTCTAAAAATTAATTCCAATCCGATTTAACGTTAACAAACGATCGAAATGGCGATCCCATCATCGTATTTAAATTTCGATACGTGTTAAATGCGTGTTACAATAAACAATTTCGAATTGGCCGCGAAAATAGACACGTGACGGACCACCGTATCACCATTATTCTCGCGTGGTTAACGCGAGCGTTCCCTTTCGCCACGATATAACCAGCTGTTATCGATCAGCGCAAAGTTCAAGTTCCTCGACGCGGATGTTACACGATGCTATGATAACGCGCCCTGACCTTTCACCCCTCCCCTCGCCTCCCTACGTTTGAAAACGACGGAAGACCCTCCCCTCCCCTCTCCCCTTTCATTCGCATACAATACACGTTCGTCTGCGTTCTTTCGTCGGCCAGCCACCGACCCGGTCAATTGTCCACCCGATGGCGTTAAATTGACCGAAATAGACGTACAAGGGTCGGCCGGATTGCGATTGCCTCGAGCGCTTTCAATGACCGCCAAGAGTGCTCGACTTCCGCCGCTTTCACGACACCGTGGCTCGCGATACGACGACGACGACGACGACGACGAGGACGCGGCCCATCCGCGCGCGATAATGACGCAGGTCGACAAAATGGTCGAAACGTGTCCCCTCCGCGCGCGAATCGATACAATGCCCGCTTGATTTTTCGTCGCCGGGGGGATTTCCTTTGTGAATGGCTGGCTACGCGAGCATTCTTGCCCCGACGTCTCTTGAACGTGGAGGGAATGTAAGGGGTGGATTTATTTTGGATTTATTTTGTTGGAAAGGGGAAGTAGCAGGGAACTCGAAGATTTAGAGCCGCTGGCGTGGTGGAACAATTTTGGAATTTTTATCCGGGGAGGATTTTTCAATGTGATACGTTGAATGATAAATGTGCGGGGAGATTATTATAGGGGGGAGATTGATGTAGAGAGGAATTAGAAATAAATGATTTGAATAAATCGATGATCGAAGTTGGATGATAATATTCGTTGATGTTTTTTGTTATAATTAAATATTTGCGTTTCGATTGAGTTTTGAAAAGTAAAGAGATGATAATGGAAATGTTAAGTGTTAAGGATAAGGGGAAAATTAGATAAAGGGATTATTCTCGTGATTTTTGCGAAAGGATGAATACAGAAATATTTTTAAGAAAGAAAGAATAAACAGATAAAAATTTATATCTTTGGGTATAGATTAAAATAAATAATTATTTTTGTTTAAAAGAATTATTCTCAATTCATTCGTTTTTTTTTCGGAGGAAAATGAAGAAATAAGCAAGTGTATCAAAATGCAAATTTCAAGTGGTAAACCATAATCTTCATCCGTAAAAAGATTCTAAAAGGTAAGAAACAAAGCAAGTTTACAAATCAACGATTTGTTGAACTTTTCGCGTTATGTATTATTCATTGTTTCGAAGCAAATCTGAGAACTCTCAGTCGAGTTAGACAGCTTTTTATGCTACTTCATAAGCCTCGTGTGCACATATGGTTGACATCGATCCAACAGTTATAGTACAGCAGGTGCCTGAAGAAAATCTATTATAAAGCTGCAACTACTATTACATAATTCCATTGATCATACTATTTAAAAATCTGGAAGTTATGTAAGAGTTATGTAAATATTTCACTCTACATTTGATTTCTATATATTGTCAATTATTTATTTCTACGATTTCTCTTAAAACGATTAGAGATTTTTGATTATTTTATGGAAATTACGAAAAAATATTTAAAAAATTAATTAGATAATAAAATTCACAAGTTCTTTGTAATACGTGATATTCATTTTATTTTAAAAATTTCATTATTAATGACATTAAAGTTACTTGTATTATATTTTCAAATTTTTTTGAATTTTGAAACTCTCTTTGATTATCCACACTAATACATAATTTCTAAGCGTAGAAATATTATAATAAGCACTACATCAAGCTTCTAAAGCTTCGAGCTCTCTGATTTGGCACACGTGGTTTCGACATTGACGACAAACAACCATTTATCACTGGAAACTATCATATAACGACTAATCTAAATTTAAAACGGAATGTGTCATATACACGATGTATAAAAATAACAATTTTTAAATAGATCAGTGTCTGAAATTGTTTCATAAATATAAACGCGACATTTTATTCTTGAAATACTTTTTGTCTTCTATTTTGTAAAACTACTTTGTATTTCTTCTTTCTCTGACTGGAATCTCTCCTTCTTCTTATTTTTCCTAATTATATTAATTGGCAAGATATTATATAAACTGTTAATAAAAGGAATATACACAACAATAACGAGATATTTATTATAAACTTATTATAAATAATCTCCAACAATAAAATAAATGATATTCGTATAATATATTATGTTTAAATTATTTCATTATTGAGAAAATAAATTTTAATCATAATTATAATTTAAAAATGATAGATAATAAAATAATTTTCATTTCTAAAAAAGTAAATTACTGAAATTTTCTCTATTTTTCTTTTATAATAACATTTTTCATTCTAATATCTCAATTTATTAAATAATTCTGCAATATATTTGCACAGATATGCACTGTCTTGTTTGATTGCAGAATGCTGATTATATCATATTTATAAGTTGCTGCCTTAGCAAATATAAAATACGTTTGCTATTGCATAGTAAATGTACAATTCATCGTGTTTATAAATGATAAATATTTTGGCTAGTTACCAAAATTAATTATAGATATATTTTGATACATTCGATCAGTTCAATCGTACAATTCATTTTTGTAATTCAACACATTGGAAAATTTAATACATTTCTATAAGAAAGTAAAAATTAATATTGTATATTCCAACACAAAAATAAATAATTATGTACAGAAATCCTGAAAATATTTGCATATACATTGTTGTTCTTCGCGTTCATTGTTACAATTTAAAATGAGAGACAAAAAAGATATACACACACACACACGCGCGTAAGAAAAAACAAACTCTTGTGAAAAGTGCACAAAGTTAACCGGTAATGAGATACTTACAAAAACGAATACTATGCTCCACAAAAGTGAAAAGGGTACTTTGCAGAGAAATTTTTACGGAACGCTACTTGTTGTAACAATTTTCTAAACTTATAACGACTTCCGGTGAAACTTGGCCAGGATACGTCAAGTCCAGATGGACGATAACGGAAATCGGGAGAAGGGAAAAAGAAGAAGGGAGAAAATACGATAACAATGGAAATCCCGAGGAGTTAATGAATTTCCCGATGTTCGGAGTATTTAGCCAAGGCGTAATGAAAATACGAAAACAATAAAGCAAAATAACTGTTTTCTTCGCATCGGTTGAAACGAGGCCATCGTAAAAACTTTGCAAGATCGAGAAAAGTTAAGACGAGCTTGTTACAAGTTCACCGGATGAAATATGAATAATATACTCGAAGAAACTTTTCAAAAATTACGAGCTCACAATCAACGATTTGTGTGGTATGATTTGTATCCCTTTTTTTAATAGCAATCCTTTCCATAATATAATAAAACGGAATAATTTTAAAATGAATAATTTGAGAGATAATCATATTGTTTTAAATAAAAAAGATTTTTGGAATATTAAACGTACCTTCTTTTAACTTTTTTCGTTAACAATGAACGAAAATTAATAATTAATATTTCTAATAATATAATGAAATTATAATAAAACTTAAGGTATACTCATTAAATTATTCTTAATTGAATCTTTTTCGAAATTAAATGTGCAAAAGGTCATGTTTGTTCATGAATTTCCTCCGTCGTGTTAATTATGTCCACTTGGAATTACTACCGGTCTTAACAATTATGTAATTATAATATTTACAATGGTTATAGTCTCTCGCCAAGTCACCAGACACTTGTTAATTTTAGATATAAGCTTATTAATCTATTAATAATTGTAACATTAATTTGAAAATTGTTTTATTAATGTCTTACTCATTTAAGTTTTTAAATATTTGTTTAATATCTTTTTCGTAACTGTTTTCTCTTCCATTTAATTGTAAAATCGTTTATCAATTATGAAAAAATAACAGTGTTTTTAATATATTATAATAAATTATATTTCTCTTAGAAAAATTTCTTTTCTTAAAATTGTTTAATGGGCTCTTTATAATTCTAATATATTTTTTGTTATTTCGTATAACAATAAATTATTGTTCAACAAGTTAAAGTAGATTTTCACTTTAGATTATTAAAACATGGTATTTCCTTATAGTTGATAATATAATGTTACAATTATACAATTATATACATACATCTTGAAATGTATTATTAAAATTCCCACAATTCATAGAGTATATGTATCATACAATCAATAAATTCCAAAATAGAATATTGTAAATTTTTAAAAAATTAATTAAATTGTATTTTAACAAATAGAAAAATCATCGATTCGCAAAATTATCTAAGGAAAAGAAGAAAATCCACAGTAGTGCAATCATTCGTTCGAACATTACAAGTGAAAAAGCAGACGTAATGCGAAACGAATTCGCAGTAAACTAGACAAAGAAGAAACATACGAAACTTCCGCTCTCTAGCGGAGGGTCGAAAAAACGTTAACTTTCCTCAAGTAAAATCTCTTTGTTCCATCGAAGGCTACCAAAAAATGAACCAACTGTTCCCTGCGATAAGAAAGCTCGCGATAAAACACCCCGAAACTAATTCAAAATTTCTTGCAATCGCATTTTTAAAACACTTTTGCGATATTCTCTGCCAGAAATTCTAGATCGAACGGAAAAAGAGACCTCCTTTCGCCTCGGTGCTCGTCATTCTTTTTCCTTACTTATTCACGAAACAAGTTCTTCAAATTAATCTCTTTCGATGGAAGTTCTTGGATAGTAATAAACCAAAATTGCTGCCAAAAGTCGAACGACTGAGTTTCTTATTGTTTAAGACTGTTAAAACTTTAAAACCCATAATTTTTCGATTTTCTACGAATGGTGATAAAGTTTCGCTCATTATTTAAATGGATTAAATTGTGGTTTTCATTATTTTTAAACGTCAAATCTTACTTTCATAAATTATATTTATTTTAATTCTCTTGTATGAATATTTTTGTGATATAAAATTTCTTTAGTTTTTATTATATTATCATACAATTATTTCTTGTTTTTAGAATTTATACAACACTATATACGTAATGCATAAATTCTAAAATATTTTTCTTAACATCCCCATATTATTTCTAAAAAATTCTACAATTATTAGAGAAATTTCTTAATAATATTAATAAATTTAGAAACATGAATATCATTATACATAGTTTCTCTAATAATATAAAAATCATCATGTATCATTTTTACCACAATAATCAGGAAAAAATTAATCATAGCCAATTTACAACTTTGCCAATTGAAAAATCCCATTTCACCCAAAACTCGATTAAACTTCCCGATATATCGTTACCCCGAATTTTTTAATTTCCACGAGTCAATCCACCCGGAAACAACCCCTCCGCGCATTACATAATGAGCCGGGCATAATTCCATTAATTCATCCCGGTTCGCATTTATCTTCTTTTATATCCCCTAGGGGAAATTGGAGAGAGCTGTCACCTTGTAATCAGGAACATAGAGACGCCTTTAGAACCCTTAAATCATTCCACTTCTCTCGACGGCTGTTACCACCGAGCCACGAAAAGAACTCGTTCTCAATGGAAACTATAAAACGGCGACAAATTAGGAACGAGATTCGAAAGGAGAAAGAAAGGAGAAAGAAGAAATTTTTGCGAAGCTTGCTTTTTTTTTCTCGCTCTAGGAGAAATGTTGAAAGTGTTCTTTTCGTATGAAATATGGCGATGAATTAGAAAAGAAGGAAAATGTTGTTATACGTTTGGTTTCTTGGTATTTTACTCGGTTCTTCGAGAAATACTTGACAAAATCTGGCTCGAATGGTTGGAAGAGATAGTTGAGAAAAGAAACGGAATTTCATCAGGCTTATAGATTTTTGGTCTATCTATTTATTATATATTAGTTTTTGAAAGGATTTGTTTTAATAAATATAACAATAAATTAGAAAAGGAGATTTGAAGAGAGAAAATCGAATTTCATTTCACTCTTATTTACTTCTCTTCAAATTTTCTGAAATACTGAAAGAATTCGTTTTGAATAGAAAATAGGGAGGAATTGAAAAAGGGTTCAAAGAAAGAAAATCGAATTTCTTTTATTCTAGATTCCTATGGAATATTGAAAGAATTCTTTTTTTTTTTTCTTCGAATAGAAAACAATGAATTAGGAAAGGAATCTGGAGGAGGAAAATAGAATTTCGCGATGCTTGGTTCCTTGATTTTCTACGATTCTCGTGGAATATTGAAGAAAGAATTTACATTAAATAGAAAACAGAAACGAAATGGAAAAAAGAGTAAACTGAATTTTGAACTATTTGGCCTTCTGACATTTCTGCAGAGATATTGAGAAAATGAAATCGTTCGAGTTATCGAGAGAAAAATTTAATATTAATAATTCGTAAATAGTGTAATAAATATGTTCATGAAATGAGAAAACAGTAACAAGTAACTTCGAAAAAAGAATTTCTTTTGTACTAAAATAATGACCAACTACAATTCAATTCAATTACTCAACAAAATAGATTTAAAAAAAGTAAATGATTTAACTATTCATACTCTTCTGATAACTATCATCATTACAAAATTTTTTCAAAAATAAAGATCAAGAAAACTAATCTTTTAGACCTTTAGTACTTTAATTGAAAGAGTAAAATTAAAAAAATTTCCTTTAAAATTAGAAAACGATATCCAAATCTAAGATATAATATTTTTACATCGAAATATAATTTAATATAATTCGATAAATGAAAGATGATGATCCAAATCGTAGATACTACCATACTTTCACCAAATTAAATTAAATCAATTTGATAATATAATTTGTACGAATAAATGGAAAAAAATCTTTCTTCTGGAAATGTTTCGAACCAGTTTCCATTAAATCGGACAGTTTTCCGACAGTTGATGATCCAGAATCTCGACCCCGATATTACCATCGTAGAACCCACTAGCCTACCAAGTGGATCCATGTGCAGGTTAATTCGATTACGTACTGGGATCGTCTAGAACGGTATTATGGGGCACGACTAGGACCAGGCGGCGGAATCTCGTTAGGACGCTCATCTCCCTATGGAATTGTTATCGTACCACCCATCAGTTGCTTCCACTAAAATTTTCCACCGCGAAATGAACGACAAACACAATTATCCCGGTTACCGAAGAATATCGTCGTTACGAACCCGGCTTTCCTTGTTTCGAAAACACCATAGTGATACACAGGATACGTAACGGATTCACAATTCCGAATTCCATTTTAACCATTGGCTAATTATGATTAAATCGTTCGAAACTCTCTACGAAACAAAGGTTCTTTAATCTTTAAGTTTGTCCTTAAAGATTAAACAGGAAGATTCAACAAGATACATTTTTAATTTTTACAAAAATTGTACCGTTCAGTTATTCATTTATACCATTATTTTCCTACAATTTCATTCATAATTCTCCAAACATTCGAAATAAATCGTATATACGATGAAAAAATGTATCTCTTGATATATTTTACTAAGATCTTCTTAACCGATTTATCATCGTCAAGACGGTTATCCAATTTGTTAATCGACCCCTATTCGAAATCAATCGTTCGGAAGGGAGATTCGACGTCGAAATCGCAGGAATCGCGAAGCAACCGAGGTACAATGTATTACAGGGAGGAGTGGATGTTCGCAAAGTGAAAAGTGTCCGCCGCGGGGCTTAACCGGGGCAAATCCAACTTCCTGTTAAATCACCCGTACGGATTAAACCACTTACCGATACAAGTTCCATCGGGGGTGGCTTCGTAGCCCGGCAGGCACGTGATGGACAAGCTGTCCAGTATCGGTTGATCCTTCAACTCCATTGGCTCGGCGCATCGATAAGATCCTGGTGTGTTGATACAACCGTACCGACACATCTCCGTTTGCAAATCTGGCTGGGCGCACTCGTCCACGTCTGGAAAAGAGATGCATCGCATTTTATTTTTCCTCTCCTATTTCCTTCTTATCGTTTCGAACCATTTAATTCCGAAGATTTGACTTTCGATATCGTTATTCAGGATTTTGACCGTGTGAGGAATAATATCGTGATATTTCGTATCTAAATGGAATATGGAAAATGGATTTATCGGGGATCGCAATGGGATAGGGAAATATTTATTCATTTTTTAAATTTTTGAATTAATTAGTTGATGAAAAATATCAAGGGGAGTGCGTATATTTTTGCTAAAAGGATATAAAATAACGTGAGGATTTCTCATTCATGATTGAGAAACGTTTGAATTTTTGTTGTTTTTTAGAGTGATAATGATAACGAAAAGAAAATTTTTGGTCTTCTGAGTAAATAGAGTTTTTACTCGATACTGATATTTTTACTTCCAAACTATTGGAAACAATAATAAGAAATATTTATAAAACTTTTATTTTAACAACAATTTATAATGAAAGAAAGAATTTTATTGCTATTGTATCGCATTTTTTTAAAAAAAATTAAACAATCATAATTACATCAATTATCCATGGATATTAATTCTATATCTGTTTATGAATTTAAAAATAGAGATTGCAAAATTTTTAATATTTCAATAAATAGATGTAAGTAGATATTATTAAATATAGAACATCAATTACGTAGAATAAATGATTGATTGAATATTAATTCGAATGAATGGCTACGAAGGAAAGAAGCATTTTCAGAACGAATTATTAATTAACAGAAAGCATCCATTAGTAGCTCGTATATCGTTAACGTATTCGTTAATGGCGTATTCTTTAAAGATTCAAATCTTTGTGCATTGGCAAAAAAATACAATTAAAAAAAATAAAAGAATGGAATGTCGCCGTTCACAAACCCATTATACATATTAGACACGGTTTCGATTTCTCTGATGAGGCTAATTAAAACATATTCTGCTTGGAACAGAATCATATTCTTTCAATTCGATTTTGCAAACGTTTGGAACCATGAATTTTTGAATCTGCACATTGAAATACACAAAAAAAGCAAAATCTATTTCATGATATGATTTAATTTATGTTATCGTTGTGCCAAAATTCTATCTCTTTTAAAGAAACGATATATATTAAATCCATTTTTAAAATATACATTATTCTTTCATTATGAAATCCTTTATTTGAATTACTCATGGCAAAAGAAATTATAAACCATCACTGCAATTTCCAATATTAAATATAAGTATCTTAATATACATCAACTAAACTCATATATCTCAATAGATCTTAACTGTAAAACTTCTTAAAAACTTAAATTCACTATATTACTAAATTCAAAATTATACTAAATCCTACAAAATCTCTCTTTCTCGAACCATCACTCAAAAAGCGTCCAAAAGTAATCCAATATTTTCCACGATTCTTCTTCCACGGGGAAAAAACAGAGGAAAGAGTAAAGAAAGAACGGTAAGCAAATTCTATTACCTTGACAGGTTTTCCAGTCGTCCTCCAGGATGAAACCATCGGGACAGAGACAAAATACTCGTCCCATGGTGGAGAGACAGGTGTGGGAGCATCCCGCGTTGTTGACGCTACAGGGACCCGCTGTCTGACACGTGTGGTTGTCGGCTGACAGTACGGTGTCCTGTAGACTGTCGCAGGAACATTCATAGCCGCCTATGGTGTTCCGACACGTATCCTGACAAGGCCCGTGCCCGTTGTTCAACAGACACTCATTGATATCTATGAAATAATGAGAAGTAATTTTATATTTTTCTAACGATGAGTCGAGTTCGAATTCGAAGATAATAATAGATTCATTCTTAAGATTGTTAAGTTGGATAATTTAAAATAATGGGGGAAAAAGTGATGCGAATACTCGTTATATTTATTTACATTTATTCTGGAGAGATTTATGCTCGAGATGTTTGATTAGTTTGATTAACTAAGATTAAATATATTGATTTTTTTTTAATAAGTGATTTTTATTATTGTTTATTAGAAGAACGATTTTAAAATTGGATATCTTGGAATCTATTAAAATAGTTTTTGGTGTATTAAAGCAATAATTTTTAGATGCTGAATGACGTATGTAAAGTAGAGAAAATCAATAAAATTTTCTTCCATGTTCCTCATATGAGATATAATATTAATATTTCCTTTAATGTTTCCGCTGTGATTTTCTCCACGTGAAATTTAATATTAATTTAGATCTTTTTCTACCAATACCAAATACTACGTTTATAATACGATGTAATAATCTATCAAAAAAGATAATCTAATCTTTCACTTTCATAATTTTTTTAATCTTTTTTCGCCATTTCATCCATCATGTATAAATATATTTTTCTCGATATAATTCCTCACATTACCTCTTCCATCAAATTCTTTTAATTTACCAGATAATCATAGCACAATATTCGTTAAAATATCGTATCCATCATCCTTCCATCCATATAATTACATAAATTTAAAAAATAAATTGAAATAAATGATAAATAATTCAAAATAAATTTATTCGATGGAAAAGTGATAAATAATTAAGATAAAAAATAATATTAAAAACAAAATGAAATATTTTAGAATATTTAATTAACATTTCGAAGCAAATGAGAAACAACCGATTGAAATTCCACCAATAATCATCGATATTACGGTGTACAGGCTTTTTCGCGATTTACACTTGTTGCTTTTTCGAAGAGCGAAGGAGGGAGAGGGGGAGGGATAATAGGTTTATACCGTGTATATATATATTCTGCAAATAACTCACCCTTGCATGTGAACCTGTCCTCGTCTAGTTTCATCCCCTTTGGGCACTCACAACGAAAGGATCCCGGGATGTTCACACATTTATGTTCGCAACCTCCCTTGTTATCCTTGCATTCGTTCACATCTGAATTTTAACGAGTACGTGTAATGCCTGGAATTTGGCTAATTTCACGCGGCGCTACGCTTTTGATCTCAATTTATCGCGATGATCCCTTCGTAATGTTTTAATACGTAATTTCTTAATATGTGTAATATCTTCTAATACTAATATATACTAACCAACGAGACTATTTAATTATGATTTTAATACATCAAATAGTTAAATTCAAATTTTACAAAAGAACATATTATCTTTGATAAGATATCTCGATGTGGAAATTGGAAACACGATATTTTATAAATTTATACTATTTTATTTTCGAAAAGAATGATTGGTTTGGAAAAAATTTTTTAGGTATTCAAAAATAACGATCGTTTTTATGGACAATAAATTAAAAAAAAAAAATTTCATTTAAATTTTATACAAATTTGAAAAAATTGTATTCAAATTCCTTCTTAAAAAATTGATGAAAATTACGTTGTGTGGAATGACATCAGCGATATTCGAGAAGAGATAATGAGAAATCGTGGAATGGGGCAAACATTAATGAGAGATATGTAAATACAGAGAATCTCGTTTGTAAAAAAGAAAAAGAAAAAAAAATATACTTAATTACTCGAAAGTTCGACTCGTTTCATTTCTTGTCCCGCCAATTTATTCGGGTCAAATCTATCCTTTTAATTTTTTTTATTCCCTTCCTGGAATAGAGTGGAACTTTGTTTTACCAAAGTCGGTTAAACCAGACTTTTAACTAATTTGGATTACCTGTCTTTACGATTCGTCCAGATTAACGACATTCTCTCCCCTGGAAGCTAATTTTTCCAAGGACCGTTAATACGAATTTTCGCTTGATTTAAACCACTTTCTCATTCAACTTAGATTAATGAAGTTTTATTGAATTTGTGTTTTTTTATTCCACGGTTCTCCGATCCTACGATCCTTTAATCTCATTTGCATTCAATTATCACGAATATTCTGAATTATCTTTATTTAAACAAATTTCGACAAAAAAACTTTATTTTAATTATTACAAACTTTTTACTTTTTGCAACTTCAAAAAAAAGCGACGTAATTAATATGATCAATCACACAAAAGTTTCTGACACATCTAACAAAACTAGAAAAGAGTTTGATATATTAATAAAAATAAATTTTGACGGTGATTTGATTTTTTTCATTGATATTTTGATTTGATGATTTTGATTGAGATATTATTTTAAGAAAGTGATTCTTTTCAATATCTTTAAATATAATTTTTTAATAATACGAAAGAGAATAAAATTTTAAATTATAAAATATTCCAATTCTCAAATGATTCAAACTATAAAAATATGTACGAGGATTTTCATTTTGAATTCATCTTTGAAATTTTTTGAAAAAAAAATATTGTAACATTTATAATTAATTACATCTCTACTTTGTTTAATTCAAAATTTTCACGTAAAATAAATTTCTTTGTAAGATAATATATAGAGACTTTCCTCACTAACTCAATATTCAGAAACAACTTATGAATCTTTTCTAAAATTAAAATCTGTCTCACGATAAAACGTAAGGGATATTACGAGAGGATGGAAATGGAGGAACTGGTCTCAATTTCCGGCTTCCTTTTAATTTCGAAATGCAACGAACGAAATGAAATTTTATAACTGTCCCCCAGTTTTATGAGAGATAAAACGACGATACGTTTCACAGTGGGATAAGAAAGAGGGAAAGGATCTTTGAAACGAAATCGTTGATGTTTTAATACGGACAGGAAGAACTTGTCCCTCGCAGAACGCGGAATCTGTCAATATTTCAACGAGTATCGATATTTCATCTTGAGAAATTTCTTTTTCATCGTCTTGACGTCTCGTCAACCGATGGGAACCGAGAAAAAACGATATCGTTTCTGCATTTTATATTTCTTCTATTCATATTTCTTCTATTTCTTATATTCGTTTATACACGTGACGAATGATAATTTTATAATTTTATTAAATCTTGATGAATGATCGTGTAATCGTAAAAAAATTAAAAATTATAAAAACAAAATATAAGACAAAACAACGTAACATATGAAATGTATTTAAATCGAAATAATATTTTCAATACTTCATCCATGTTTGTGCAAGCAATAACTTTTCATTTAAATTTCCTGCATTCGTTTTAATATCTATCTAACAGAATAAAGGACTAACGTTTCGAAATAATTTATTACGTATCATGGTAATCTCTAATTTATATATATTTAGATATTTCATGCACGTTTGCTTTAATACGTGACAAAATGTTATCCAATTTATGAGAATATATCAAATCGGTATAATTTCCATTAAAATTGATTATTTAATAATATTGTATTATGAAAATTTCAAATATTCCCAAATATATTTGTTGAAAATTGGATCGATATCAAATTCGAATATTTCATCGAGTAATAGATATTGAGATGAAATTTCGAACAACACCTAAATTAATCCTTGTCAATTAAATTGTTGTTTTATTATTTGGATAATATTGCAAGCAAAGATGTATGAATTGTATGCAAACTTACCCATACATTTATCATTCTCCAACCGGAAACCTTTGTAACAGGAACACACCGGTCTGCCATCGACTTCTTTGCAAACGTGATCGCAGGAAGCGTCGATGCACGCACCTTCAAAATTCGCTTTGATCTTGCACTTTGGTAGTTGTCCCATCCATTGACGATTTCTGCATAACAATCTGTTTGTTGTGCTCACCATATAGAATCCTGGGGCACATTCGTAATCGGCTTCCAAATATTCGTGGCCTGGTATCGATGATCTTAGAGAAAATACCAATTGCAGACTTTTATAAATTTCGGAAGAGAATAAATAAAATTGATTCAGGAAGAATGTCGAATATCTTTTGACAATAAAAAGATATTTTCTTCCTATCATCGCCTAATGGGTTGATTGTTATTTAATTTTACAAAAAAAATATTATAATATATAGAAAGGACATAAAAGTTCGAAGCCAGAAAAAATAAGGAAAATGCTTTAACAATAAATAATTTTGTATGCATCGATTGGCCGTGGAAATTAATTCTCTGATTGATTACCGCTTCAACTTCAAAAGTTTACGTAACTAATAGATATACAATAGCTGATCGATACTTTCCAACATATAATCTTACAGGAAAGAGCTTTTGATCCGTTACAAACTTCTAAGCCCATCAAATACAAAATATATAATTAGCATAACATAAATTCTTGCATAACATATAACAAATTGCACAACTTGTTAAAGATATATTTTACGTTACAGTTACAATTTTATGATTAATTTTATTGTTACTTCATTCCAGCAAATGTTTTATTTCTTTCGAATATTTAACCCGTAATAAACTAAGAGTAAAAATTTAATTAATAAGTTCAAATATCTAGATTCCTCTTCTATCCTCTTCGATTTATCGCTTGACCCGTGATATTTTATCTAATATTACTATTCTCGACGAAACTATAAAATGTCAAACTATGAATGGACATAAATCCTTTTCGATCGCCACCATCATTTTCTAACATAATTTTCTAACACACACGAAACTTTCCACGTCCCTTATTCAACGTTTGATTCAACATTTGCTCGAGAGCAAGATTTACTTGCCATTACAGCCATTTCCCTTACTTACCCGATCTTTTTATATTTTACAGGACCGTCAGGTAATTCCTGCACGTCGAAGCATTGAAAAGTTCGGCTCCTCGATCTGAAACTTTTCTGGTTTCTCTACAATCCTGGCTACGAACTTGTCCCGGTAATTCAGTTTTCTGACGAAAAGGGGAGGAAATTTCGATAAAGGGACACGTTGTGACGTGGAGACATGTGCTCGATTAAAGAACAGACGAGAGAAGAACGAGAAAAGGAGAGAGAGAAAGAGAGAGAGGGAGAGAGAGAAAGAGAGAAAGCTTTAAAAGAAATCTGAAAAAAGTCGTTTTGAATGGAACGAGCATCAAGAACTGCAATTATAGACTTTTCAACTTACGTCCTTTGAGAAGGGAAAACACATACTTCGTTAAAGATATTGAACGAAATTCTTGGAATGAAGGGAACGTTTTGTGAATTACGTTTCTCCTTGTACTTTAATAGGATTGAAAATAATTACTGAAAGTAATTACATAGAAAATTAAATGTGTACGGAATATCGTTTCCTTTATACTTTCCGCGTAAAAATATTTTTATTAATATAATAATATTATAATGTTAGATTTAATAATAATGTGAAATCTCTATTATTATATCAATAATTATTATTATTATATATTACTTAAAATCAAACGATCCAACGTAAAGTTATTATCTGGTTAACCAGCTCACACAGGATTTAATGTAAATCAATTCAAATAATTAACTTTCGTTTTCAAATCGACTCAATCTCATTAATTTTATGCAGCTAATGTAATGTAATAATGTATGCACATACATTAACTGAATAATTTTGTCAATTTTGTTACATATTATTGCACATTTTCAAACGCATAGATCCATTTCAATTTCTTGAGAGAATACTAATACATATGTACGTACATTTTTAATTTAACTATATATTTTCACAAAATGTGAATATCCAATGACCAAAATATATTTTTAATTTTATTTTAATACATTTTAAATATTAGATATTATCAAAAAATCTAATTGATCAATAAGATATAAATAATATGAATAAATATTATTATGCTGAACAAATGAGATATAACCTACTATTAAAGAAAATTAACCCTCACTGGTCTTAATGATTCATCAAAGAATCATGAATGAAAAATAAGTCAGAAAAAGAAAATCACCATCAACTATAACATTAATATTATTGATTTATCGATCAAGAAACGTTCGTTTCAATTCGATCGACAAACTATTCGCCAACGATACGTAAATAATCGCTCGATTCATAAAAGAATGATATTAATTACCATTCCACGATAGGTGATATATAATACGCCACTTCCCAAACGCGGGGGAAGATCCTATCGTCGTAAGGGAAATCGCATCGGGGGAGGGAAACCTGGTCAACCTGATCGAGATGAGTTGAATTATTCATGCTAAAAGCCACTTACTTTACATATTTGATCAGCGCATGCCGGGCAAGGGGTGCCGGCACGAACGTCCCGTTTATGCAAGATAAATCCCCCTTCGTATCGTCCTCGTACGCCACCGTGCTGCTCGCCCATTCCATACTCTTCTTTCCACCCAACCTGTCCAACTCTGCCTCGTCGATTATGGGCTTTCCATGAAAATGCGATCCGCCTGTCCTCCTCCGCTCGACCTCGTCCCGCCTCGCCACCATCGACAATCTCAAACTCGACGTCATGTACGCGTTGTAATCCTTCAACGTCCTCGCCAGGACCTCGTTCTCCAAATCCAGAATGGGCAGATCCTCCTCGGTCCTCGAGTAGCCCAACATCTTCTCAGCGTCGTACCTAGAGTTGCCGAACTTCGCCTCGTTCGTGTTACCACCCTTCTTCGCCACCTTCTCCTCCTCCTCCTCCTCCTCCTCCTCCTCCTCCACCTGTTTTCGACCCCAATTTTTCCGCGATGACTTGGGCACAGAGCTGCCCAGGATACGGTTCTCCAAGCTGGCAGGATCCTCCATCTGGGTCCGCGAGATCTCTTTCTCGAGCTGTTTCGAAAATTCTCTCTCCACGGTGTCCTCGTACATGTTGTAACGCGACGTGGTCTGCGCGGATCTCTTCGTAGCCTCGGTGGTTAATTGATCCTGAAGATTGGACGGTGACGTAACATCGGTGCCGCTCGAGCGCGTTTGGTTACCTCTCGAAGTCACGTTCGTGTCGTCCACCACGTGGCCATCGATCTTGCCGAGAAGCAGCGCCGCGGGCGCGTCGTTCATCCTCCTCTTGAACTTGGACGCTCGACGCGCCTCGCCGTTCTTCTCGCCGTTCTTCTCGCCGTTCCTCGCCCTCTTCCTCCCGCGTTTCCGCTCGCGATTCTTCCTCCTCCTGCGACGCTCCGCGCGATACCTCCTCGCCGCGGAATCTTTAGGCTTCTTCGTCTGCCCGTTTCGCTTTCCCCTGATCTCGTTCTCCTGGGTGCCGTCTCGTTCACGATCCACCTCTGTGTTTCCGCTCTTCGAATCTTTGTTCCTGCGACGTTTCTTCCGGGATCTGTCACCGCCGTCGCCCTTTCGACGAGTGATCGATGTCGAGGCTGCTGAAAGGGAGGTAGATTTTTTTTTTTGTTGTTGTTAAAGATTGGGGAAAATCTTGGATGGAGAGGAATGATTCGTGGTTCGATTGATTTAACGCTTGCTTTCCTTCGAAGTTTGATCTTGGATTTTTCGATAATTTGCGTTATACGTTTTCTTTTGGCTGGATCTCTTTGAACTGTAGCGATTGTGTGTATGTGGAAATTATTTTTCTAATTTTTACAATGTGCTTTTTTATTTATTTAAATATGGAAAGTTTCACTGCCTCGAATTCTATTACGATTTGTAAATTCTTCTGATATTATAAACTTCCTCCAATAATATTTTAAAATGTAACAATTATGCATGGACGAGGTCTCCTTGTAATACTGTTAATGTAAAATTGTTAAATGTTAAATGTTAGTATATAATTTGGTATATGAAATAGACCATCATTGAAAATATCGTGAAATATTAAATAGCACAGTTAAAAGTTTAAATACGAATAAAAGAGAAAATCTATAATATTCTTAATACTTTGAATCATTGGTGCAATAAATTTCAATGTAAACTGTAATATTATAAAAATTATTATTCACAAATGTACACACGATAACTTTGAACACATCCAATGATGCGTTTGTCACGCACTGATTAACACATGATTTCTTCTTGTTTGAAATAGACATTAATGCCACGATGTAAACACTATCGTTTAACATGCAATAAACTGAAGCAATTCTTGTTTGCAATCAAATAATATTTCGCATGTTCATCATATATTCATGATATTCACATGATTAAAAAATAAATATTTATTACAATTAATATTCAAATTTGTATTATTTTCAATCTTCTACAATCGAAATTGATTGTTTATTCGTCAAGAATAAAAATTGTAATTTATTAAAAAATTTTATTATTTATTAGTAAATTGTAACTGCAAATCATACAATGGCACAGCCAAAAATAATAAAGCAAAAAGAAATAAAAGACAAATTGTTATTTCTAACTTATCTTCTTCTAACTTATCTTCTAGCAAAATAATTTCTTCGTTCTAATCGAAAATAAAAAAAAAAATAAATCATTTCCTCTTTGAAAAATCAACAAAAAGCAAAGTTAATTTCCTAAAATTTACACGATTGTAACGAGAACTCTTACAATCCGATTCGTAAGGCAAACATTTTTACTCACTGACATTCAGACCCGGCCGAAACGATGAGTTGGAAACACCTCCTGGTGGAACGAGGACCTTGTCCCTATTTCCGTCTGCCCGAGGCGCTGTTTCCACTTCCGTCTCCGACACCTCTGCCGCGTTTCGAGACGAGAGGGAGCTCCCGTTCTCATCGAGCGTCTTTTTACCCTCGAGAGACGCATCCCAGCTAATGGACAACATAACCAACCGTTTTTTCTCTTTCTCTCTCTCTCTCTCTCTCTCCCTTCCCCCCTTGATCTCGACGAAAATGAAAAGACTTGGCTAGTCCATCCCCGTTTGACATGCATAATGCCGCGTATCTCTTTCAAGTTTTCAACCTCTTTTAATATTTACGTCTTCTCGAGGACACTTTCCATCGAGTTTCCTTCGAAAGCACGTGAAAACGCGGGAGCGTTTTGTATCGACGGATCAACCTGAAGGATTCTTAATAATTCTTAAAACATTATCCGCCTTTTTGTCCAGGGAAATCGCGATTTAAACGAAAGGAATTATGCTTTGGAGATCGAGTTGGATTCGCGCTGGTATGGAAAGTGTGACGTGGAATTTAGTCGAAAGTGAATTTTTTTTTATTAAAAATTACTTCTCTTTGGAATAATTTTTATATTCGTATTGATTTTAAATAAGATGGTTAAGTAATTTTAAGAAATTTATGTATTGTTGATATTTTCCTCGAAAACAAAATTTCATTTTGTAATCATATTCGTATCGTGCGATTATTATTCGAAGTAACTTTTATTCAATTGATGTATATAGTGATTAGTATGAGTCACGAGTAACCTGGCCATCTTTTATGATCCATCATGTCAGGATTACAATCGTACATTGTATGTATCATATTGTACACGAATGCTCTCCATTAAATCACTAACCATTTGCAGTTGTCTGGAACATCAATTGGTTCATGTCATAAAATAATTTTTAAAATAATTGTAATATATAAATTGTATTTTCAATAATGTATCCGTATATTTCTATGCAAACATTTTATATTAAACTAATTGATATTTTATTAAATTATAATACTACTCAATTTATCAAATTATAATACAAATGCAACTTATATGTTAAAACTAATAAATATTAAATGAAATAGAAACCAATTCGAAATAAGATCAACAAAGGGTTAAAACGAATCTATCTATTTAAAGATCTCGATTTTTTCGACAAGATCAATATCGAACAAAATGAAATTTTATTGTTAAACATTCCAATAATTTTAAACTTAAAATTTAAATTTAAAAAGTTAAATTTTGTTTCATCGTGTGGATCTGGTCTACGAATATCATCATTCCACCATTCCTAGGATCTTTTAACTTCGATAATTATAAGCCGTGCTACCGTGTAATTGAGACTAACGTTGACCAGTGTACACCGTGAAATTAGGATTTCCACGAATGCGGTTCCACTGTGTTACGTATCAATTAGGAAGTTCGAGTGTGTAATACGACCGCCCTTATTTCGTTACCCCACCGTAATTATCGGTTCTCCCAAGTTCAACCGTTTGATCCTCGATGCCCACTACCAACTCGGCCATTCGATCGAGAAGTTTATTAAATTCGCTCGGTGAACTTGTTGCCGAAAGGAAACAAGAAATGTGAGATACGTTTCTTCTTATTTCTATTGCTTATTTTTTCTTTTTTTTTTCCGTCTCCCTTTTTTTTTTTGTTGAGTTGAGTTTGGGTGAGTTATTATGGTACATGAGGATATTTGAAGAATAGTTTTGCGGAAATTTATTTGAAGAAAATTTAGAAAGGGTGAATTGGAGAATTTATTCCCAATTCAGTGTTGATTTTTGTTCATCTAATTTTTTTTTTTTTTTTGATTTTCTTCCTTTCGATAGTTTTATAACAAAAGAAATATAAGGGTTGGATCGATAATTCAAAGTAGAATTTTGTACAATATTTAAAATTATGAAAGAATTAACAGTTTATCGAACAGAATGTTAAACTAATTTTTAACAATCGAGAGATTGATATATTCAAAATGAAATTGTATGTAAAAGTCAAGAATACTGTGAAGAATATTAATATCAATGGTGGTAAATTTCAAACTGATATTTAATTTATTCAATATATTATTTGAACAATTACTATTGATTGGAAACATTATAAATTATTTTGAATGAAAAAAAGAAGGTTATATTAATATAATATGTTTGGTATCCAATTTTTATGCCACGTGCAGCCTTGATAATATATTCGAAGACAAACTGTCTGATTTATAGTCAAGTAATAATCGAAGGTCACGTAGCTGGTTTTTTAGAATGGAAATTGATTCGTCACTGCATTGTTAAAAATTAATCACATTAATTCACAAACTTTCTCGATAAAAAGATTCTTTAATAAATAACTTCGAATATAATTATAAACTGAAAATAAACACCACTAGAAAAAAAAACCTTTAAAAAATAAATATAAAATCTAAAATCTATCCTTTCTAAATTTAACTTTAAAATTGATCGACAGAAATACATTATCCAAACTCGTTCTTTTAAGGTTAATTCAAAACTAGGCTCACTTGAAACAATTGACACTGCTCCACAAACATAACTATCGACCTTGGTAATTAACGAGCCAATTCGCTCATTAACTCCGTTGTCACGGAGGACACGCGTTACACATTCCAAAGGGAGATAGAATAGAATAGAATATTTTCAAAATCAATAAAAATCGACGTTCAAATTTACGTACGAATCTCTAAACGAAAAATCCCTATAAAATTTTTTCAAAAAAGTTATAACATTCTGAATCTTTAACAAAAAAAAAAAAAATATCAATTCCTTTTCAAAGAAACAATCCTAATTTTGTAGGATAAAATTTCACTATAATAACATCCAAATGATGACTCGACAATCATCAATTAACCACCGATTAACCATTTTCTATTTCCTCGAACCGAAAACTGTTCGATAATCGACACGTTCGACAGCATCAAATATGCATAAAGTACTTACACATACGACTGATCCGCATCGTCAGCCTGCAGTTCATCGCGCAGATCGTCTATTTTCCTCGCGTCATCCCTGTTATCGAATTGTTCTCGCGGATCCGCGTTTTGGCAGCGTCCTATAAAGCAACAAAAATATCGCGTTCAATCCCTGTTGAATACGAGACATCGTGATAAATCCGAAACGAGGGATAAAATGAAAAAAAAAAAAAAAAGAAGGAGGAGGGGAGAAGAAGAAAATAAGAGAGAGGAGAAAACGGAGGAAAAGAAACGGAAACGAGAGGCATACGCGATACGACGCCCGTGCTACGAAACAGAGGCGCGAGAGTTTCCATTTCCGGCTGGCGGAAAGTTTCACCTGGACGAGGAGGAAAGTTTTCTCAGATTCCAGAGGCCTTAGAACCTCGCTTTTCCTCCTGCTCGAACTCCGACCGGAAGTCAATAGGGCCCTCGCCACTTTGAAATGCCGGCAAAAGTACTTGCATATGCCTCCCCCTCCCCACGCCCCTCGGCTAGCAAGCTTTTCACAGCGATATTGAACTTTTTATCGCGTCGAACGAGAGGGATGAAAGGTTAAAACGGAGCCAGGAAACAAAGCGGCGGCTGGCAATAGTCGTTCTGCGTACAGATACCCGTGGAAATCGTCGATCGAGGCGAAGGTTTCGCCGATTACCAAGGGAATTTGCTTACGAGGGGGAGCAACCCTCGTTTCGAAAGTTACGAACGTAGGCTTGTAAAGGCGACAGCTTTAAAGACGGAGCTGGCAGGAATAATGGGGAAAAAATAGGGAAGAAAGATTTTTCGATATAACGTATCGAGTGATTTTTACGATGGAAAAATATACGATAAATAAATAATTATAGTGAGAGCTTAATTATCCGGAATCTTAATCATTCGGCATTTTTTAATTACCAATACTAATTTTACATCATCCTTCTATAATTGGTAATATAATTAATTATATTAATAATGTTAAAACTTCTATTCCTATATTTATTTATTTTTTTTTTCTTATTAAATTTCTATTAATTTTTGAAATTGAATAATTGTTAGATAGTCATTAAACACTATTCGTTAATTAAACGAATTTTCGAAATGAATTATGAAAGAATAATTTTTAATTAAAGAAAAAAAGAAAAAAAAACAAAAATACGTTTCTAGTTATTTCCTTCCAGAAAATATATTTTCGTCGCGTATTCTTTGACCTGGTTTTAAACTCAAAGAAATAACCACATCCGGTATGATCCCGTCCTATGAGATCACATCTATCGTGTATATATATCCTGGATTCAAAAGATCATATCTAAAGTGATGACATCCACTACGAGACCGTGTCTGTAAGATCAAAGCCCTGACTGTCAAAGTTCTATAAGGTCCCTAATGATTGACCTCACGAGGATAATCCGACGGGTCGATAGTCATGTTCTACAATCAGGTTCTACTGAACCTGGGTCATGTTAAGCATGGTTCTAATGCATCTGCCATGTCGGATTTAGTCTCGCGTTTAAGATCATATTAGACATACAACTATGAGGTCTATGGTCTTAGTTGTATCTTTATAAAATTGGAATCGTATTACGTACAATTGTAACTATGTCTAATAATATCAGATGCGATATATGATTCATGTTGAATGTAATACTGAGATTTGGAGAAACTTCATTTACTCGATTAACGTAATAGTGGAATTTTCGTTTTATATTGCTAAGATGAAGTTTCCAATTCTTGTCACATTTTTTCTATGTTTTTATCTACTACTTTTATTAGTATAGTCGTTGCTTTAATTACCAGCAATTGTTTTTTTTTTTTTGCAAGGGCAATCTCAATTTTCGAAGCTTTCTAATATTACTTTTTATTTCGTGCAATATTCTCTGATAAACTCGTGCACGTACATTGTACACGTGGTGTATTTCTCTCTACATATCTCGTATCGAATTTTCCATTGAGTTCAAAATGTGGTTCCATTCGAGAAAAAATACACACTTGTACTTTTATCTTTTTTAACGATCGCATTAACGTCGACAGTAACATCGTTTGGAATCCGGTAAATCGGCGTAATCTAGCTACTATTATCCTTTTGCATGCCCCTCTCGATATTTTTCTACCTTGTTTATATTTTTCACGTGTTTATTTTCTCTAAAAATATTTTTTTCTTTCCGGATTAAATGTGATATTGTTACGCGATTGTTAACCGATCCAAAACTGATATTTTGTTAAAATAAAAGATGTATTGTCCGATTGTAATAAATGATATTATAATAAACGAAAAAAGGAAAGAATAATTTATCCTAATTATATGTATGAGATATACCATTTAGCTTCTTCTGAAGAAAATATTTTATTCTCGTATAATTTCTATTCTATTTCTAAAAATTATTCTAAAGTTCTAACAATTTGCTAATGTTCTTTTTAAAATTAATTTCTTATGTCTGATTTAATTTTCCATTAAAAGAGTAGCGCGATTTAAAATATATATCATTTTATCTTTATCATTAAAAACGATTTATATTAAATCCGATAAAAATATATATGTTCCATCATTGAGAAAAATTAAATGAAATCATATTAACTTTATACATCTAATGTATAATTTTTCTTTCATAATTCTTATATTTTTAATAAATCATTTGCAGTATCTAAATCTTTAAACGAAAACCATCAGTTCGAAAAATTTATAATTTAATTAATTTATCATTTACATATTCTTAATATTAATCAAACTTACCATGTTCTATTTTCCTATTGAATAAGTATGAATGCATGAAGTAAACAATGCAAGCCCAAACAATATTAAAGCAAAGAGCGGAAATTTAATTTTCTCGTTATCTGTTTAATCCTTTCAAGTGGAAAAATCAATATACATCGTCAAAATAATTATACATTATAAAGACTACCATCATATACATATAATTTCTCTATTAATATTATAATACATATAAAAAATAATAAAGATTGAAAATTTCAATTTAAACATTATACTTAATCTATTGTTTTTTTTTTCTTTTAAATTAACTTTCTTTTAATAAACGATAGATACAATAGATACATTCATTGTTATTGCATTCATTGCATTCATTTGTTAAAAATATAAATCCATCTCAAATAGATTAATTTCAATCATTGGTAAACGAGAATCGAACATCACGATGGCACATCACTCTTTACCAACGTAACCAGGAACGTCTGATAAAGTTATGAATTACGGTGCATTGGCCTTCAGAGTTCGTCGAGGTCGTTCAACATGGGATAGGTCAGTCCTTGGCTCTAACTCATTCTAACGGAGATCGCGTACCATTCCCGCCACCGATTCTACGTGAAACGGAAATATAATGGCGTCGATCCGATTCGAAACGGAGAATACGGCTTCGTGCACGGGAAAACAAGCTCAAAAAGAGGATAAATCTAGGAGCTCGATGAGAAATTTGCTGCGGATGCATTATAGAAGTGCACAAAATGCGCGGAACAAAAAGGAAAGAATGATATATTCAGAATGTTTTAATGGATTCCACCAGTTTTGTTGGATAATTCGATTATAGTTATTTATGGAAATTAATTAATTACTTCAATTCATTTCTTGATCATTTTGAATTATTGAGATTAAATAAAGAATTTTATTTCTACACAAATGATAGAATTATAAAAATGTTATACTTTCTAGAGATTTTTAATAGTTGAGCATCCTAGGGATCACTAGTAACCGAATACCAAAATTTTAGTGATGTCATAAAGATCCAGATAAAATTACTATTAATAGTGATTAAATTAAAATTAAATAATTAAAAATATAATTTAGAATAGTATAACCGATATACAAAATTATAAAACATTCATCAAATGGAATAAACAATTGAAAGATGAAATATAAAAATATAACAAAACTCTCTCTTTCGATAAAAATAAGTTTCTGAATTGTTGAAATCGGTTATTAATATTACTTTTAACCAGAAATTCTTTATATATTCATAAGCTATAATAAATGATTCATACGAACAATCATATCTAAATAATATTTTGGATAAAATAACACATTGAAAAATAAAAGTACGTTGCTTGAAAATTGTTTCCTCCGTGGAATATACGTGCGAACAACAGAAATCCAAAGAAAATATGTCACCATGACATGCACATTGTGAAAGAAATGAAACGTGTCACGCCCTGTAACACATCGAGAAATTTGTCTGAGATCATCAGTTTATATAAAACTCCATTGACAAAGCGGCATTTATACACAAGTATCAGGTCAATGCTTGACGACCGCGATTTTAAATTTCACACCCGAGTTCAGACATTGTATTAAGTAAATCCGCCTCGATGGAATGACGAAACGTTTGTTTCTTTTTCTCTATATTTTGCACGTAGGAGTTAATCCTCGTATGCAATTCGATGAAAGAAATCTTGAAAAATATATTTGAATCTTGAATTTTCTTTCTTTTTGAATCGTAAAGTTCTCTTTACGTAGACACTTCTAGATAATATTATATCTTTTCAATTTAATTCTTGCACATCTATGAAATATTTTCATATCCTTCTCTTTGAACATAGATATTTCACTTTTTTTCAATTTTTCTGATTGAATTCAATTTGAAAAAAAAAAAAAATTGATTTTGAAAATATAACATATCGATCACAAAAACATATCTGATCACCTAATTTCGTAATTAATTATAATTTTTTGATTTTATATTTTATTTCATATTATTTTATTCTATTCTATTATTAATTTCTGTTATAGAATAAAATAATATAATTTGATATATAACTTCATATAAAATATATCAAATATGTGAATATTACTATTTAAAAAAGTATAACACATTTCTTTTTTTACAAATAAATTTAATAAGGATTATTATAAAAGTGAATTATTTTAACTTGAATTTGTAATTTAATCTTTCCTATTGTAATCTGAGAAAATATTTATCCCAGAATAAATGTTACAACTTTATTGGAGAATATTTGTAAAAGATATTAAAATTTAGATAATACATATACTTTTAGATAATTGGATTGAGATATTAATTTAATTTTATAACATGGATCAGCGTGGTATAGAGTTTGCTGCGTTTAATGTAATAAATATCATTACGATATACACCATAATTGGATTGATGGATGTAAA